ATAACCTAGGTTGTTTTATGGGCCGAGTGAATTGTATTAGGATTTAATTGAGCCTAGGGTTAGTGTGGACTATAAATACTCATCTAAGGGGTCTGCCTAGGGTTTTAGAATACCATTACGACACAGTAAGGTTGTGTGAAGTTTTGGAGACGGCTGGGAGGAAACAGAGAAATAAACAAAGGTGTCGCCGGAGACTTTAGACGGGGAAAGGCTAAAGGTAAGTCCTAACCTCATCTCTTTCCCTTTTACTTGTGTTCTTTGCATGCCTAAGTAGTTCCAGAAAATCATTAAACGGAGTTAATTGACTATGCATGTTTAGAACTCATTATATCTGTATGTGCTGAAACTTGTGGTAAACTATTTGTTTTGTGTCCAACTGTGTAATTATTCTTTTAAATTACTGTTAATCAATGCATGAAGGAGGTAGATGAGTTTTCTCTGGGTAGGTTTGATCACAAATAAAAGTGCTAAAAACTGTATCAGAGAGGGACGAATGTAGTGCAGTCAAACGGAAACGAAACAAGCATATAGAGGAGAGGGGGAAGAGGAGACAGCTCCATGGAACCATGGAGCTGGCTCTACATGGTTAGGAGCCGGCTCTACCATGGTTGGAGCCAGCTCTAGCATAGGTGGAGGCGGCTCCACCTTGTGGGAGCCTGCTCTCCTTATGTTTTTTCCATTTTTTTTTTTTTTTTTTTTCTGCGAGGTTTGGCCTTGTTTTGACATAGCAGATGTGTTTAGGGGCTGTGAATGGGAATTGAGGTTGATGTCTGAGTTTAACTTAGGTTTTCAGAGGGCTTATTAATACATATTCAACCAATTAATGTTATTGTTTGGACAGTATACAATTTCTAAGCAAACTAGTAAACTGTTTTGGAGACTTAGGATCTAAACCACACAACCTGCGTTGTAGCAGTTTATTTGGGAATGGAGTTAGGTTCTGTTCGTGTGTTTGTGATGGATTGTAAGCATGTAGGACTATATAATTAATTACATGCCTGTAATGGATGGAAGGTGTGCACTTACATTAACTGTGTTGTTCACTCCTAAACAACGGTGGAGTAGTATAGGATAAGTATGTAAGTTTGTAAAACAAATCTGCATGCTTACTTGGATTTATTTAAAGGTATATATATATATATATGATCTGTATTAACAATCATAGAACTGAGTGGAGTAGTGATAAATAAGCTTGTTAAATAACAAAGTTTTAGCATGCATAATGTGAAGCAGTTGATGTTTACAATTGTGTGATTGACTGTTGACTGCTGAATATACTATAAAGTTGATAATTACATTTATTATTTGTATGATCAATTGTGGATGTTGGATTATTGTTGGATAGACCATATAATTGATAATTACATATATTACTTGTGTTGTCAACTGTGGATGTTGGATTACATGCACCGGTATGGGACGGTGGCATGCCTAGGTTTGGATTAGTTTCAAAATACTAAATCCTATCTACACGGAATAAGGGAATGGATATTAAAATAATTCCTACTTATAATTGAGTCAAAGAAGCTGTATAAGCTGAATGACTACTCAAATTACTCGTAAGTTATGTTAAGTCAAAGAAGCTGCACAAGTTGAATGACTAACTGGACTTTGTATGGATAAGACGGACTTTAAATATATATATTATGGTACTGCGATCTGAGCTTGAGTCTCAGAGTTGTCGGTTAGGGAGCGTATATACAATAAGATGCGTAGCTGGATATGAGAGGTTGATGTATACCCTGTTAGGTCTAGGTACTCATGCCCACCTTTGGGTGCGTTTTCGCATGTTGCTTTCTATTCAGGTTGACACCCCCTCCATAGTCCAGTGAGAGTCTTATAGTGTGAATATACTTATATAAGGACTATTAGCTATTGTTGAACTATTTATGATGTATATGCGTATTGAGCATCTGCTTGGATTGTAGAAGGTTAGAATTTGTTCGTGGGTCTGACCCACTTCTATTTTTCAGGTACTCGTCCGTATCAAACGTAGACCTGATCGTGCTGAGCAGAGACTACTACTCATTCCTCCTCCGACGTAGGATTCTCTCCATAATTTATTACTGGATGTTTCTTTCAGTTGTCTTATTTCAGTCTGGATTTTATTAGGGGTCCACTAGAGATGGATTCCCGAGTTGTAACCATGGAGGTTTTAGCAGTTGGATTTTTCTAAGTTTTATCAATTGAGGATTTAATATTAGTGTTCTTTTCAGCTTTTGTTATTTATTCTTATTTCCTCTTGTATTATGTGTTTATAAAATATTAATTGTTTGATATTTCCCTCGGGTTTAGGCCTGGGCCTGATCAACCCGTGTCTCAGATCCGAGGGGTATCACACCATGTAATCATTTTTACTTAAAACCAATGTGGGACAAGAAAAATGAATTGTATTAGGTAATTAGTAATTTGAATTAAACTCTTTAATTTAATTTTTATAAAATTTATTAGGTAATTTTTAATTTGAATTAAACTCTTTAAATAATTTTTAGGTAATTTTTTGTTTATAAAAACTATGTTTTTATATTAATAAATAAATACTGAAATACTGAAACTCTTTACACAAAGGCTGAGAAAGTAGTACTACACTTGATCTTAACCAAAAGGGCGAAAAAGGTGTGATTATTATTTCTCTAGCTCTACAGTTTTATAAGAGACTTCCATGTAATCATTTTTACTTAAAACTAATGTGGGACACGAAAATTGAATTTTATTAGGTAATTTGTAATTTGAATTAAACTCTTTAAATTAATTTTTATAATTTTTATTAGGTAATTTGTAATTTGAATTAAACCTTTTTAAATAATTGTTAGGTATTTTTTTGTTTATAAAGACTCTTTTTTTATATTAATAACAAAATATTGAAAGCCAAAAGGTCAAGAAAGTAGTACTACACTTGATCTTAGCCAAAAGACTAAGAAAGGTTAGCCAAAAGGCCGACCCAAAAAAATTTAGTATTACACTTAATCTTAGCTATAAGGCTGATAAAGGTGTGATTATTATTTCTTTAGGTTTATAGTTTTATAAGAGGCTTCCATGTAATTCTTATTTATTTAAAACCAATGTAGGACAAGAAAAATGAATTTTATTAGGTAATTTATAATTTTAAATTAATTTTATATTAATAAAAAATACTAAAAGCCAAAAGGCCAAGAAAGTAGTATTACATTTGATCTTAGCCAAAAGACCAAGAAAAGTTAGCCAAAAGGCCGACCCAAAAAAATATTGTACTACACTTGATCTTAGCCAAAAGCCTGATAAATGTGTAATTATTATTTCTTTAGGTCTATAGTTTTAAAAGCCTGAGAAATGTATAATTATTATTTTTTTAGGTCTATAGTTTTATAAGAGGCTTCCATGTAATCTTTTTTACTTAAAACCAATGTGAGACAAGAAAAATGAATTTTATTAGATAATTTGTAATTTTAATTAAACTCTTTAAATTATATTAGGTAATTTGTAATTTGAATTAAACTCTTTAAATAATTTTTAGGTAATTTTTTGTTTATAAAAACTCTTTTTTTATATTAATAAATAAATATTGAAATTCAGAAACACTGAGACTCTTTGCACATTTAATAATAGTATAAATATATATATATATATATATATATCTTTGGAGGACATTTTGCCTATTACAAAGATAACCCAAACAAGGCCAATGGCCTAAACCCAAGCATAAGACCAGATCAATCAATTCTGACCCAAGGGACCAAATACCATTATCGGTGCACAAAATAACAACAATTAGCAATGAATATCCATCAATCCTGTAGTGAGAGAGTGATCAAAGGGCAATCGAGAGTTGATTACCCACTCGTTTTAAAAGTTTCGTATTAATCTTTGTGGGACAGATCTCTCTCTCTCTCTCTCTCTCTCTATATATATATATATATATATATAATTACTTATATATCATTTGGAATTGCTTTTCAAATGCATAAAAGTTTTTATATAAAAAAATCATGTTCAGATGTGTTTTATTTATTTTATTTTATTTTATTATTTTATTAACAATGCAAGAAGGGTTAGAAGTTAAATTAGTAGATATTGAGACGTTAACCCACTGGACTATCGAAGTAAATTAGTAGATATTGAGACGTTAACCCACTGGACTATCGAAGTAACTACGTGTTTAAATGTGTTTGATAATCATTATAAATACTTTTAATATCAATTTTTGCTCAGTAGAGCTTTTGAATGAAACTAAAATATGAAAATTTTAAAACCACGAGGTTGTATATTTTAGGTGACTGTGCTTTTTCTTAGATAATTCTGAACCTTTTTTTTTATTTTCTATAAAGACAATTTCACCTTTTTTTTTTTTTTTGTTATAAAGTTATTATTATTAAATATAGTGATATTATATTAAAATATATATTATTTTGAAATTACAAAAATAAAAATATATATATTTTTTCATTCAACACAAACCGACCTTTAATATAAGTTATAGCAATGCCAAATGACTCCTATGGTATCTAACGCAGCTTTGATTCCAATCTCGAAAAAGTCATGAGCAATTCTGGAAGAGTATTGGTCTCAATACATCTTTTGAGTATCTCAGGACTAACTCATGAAGTAGACGTTGAGCGTGCCATGTCATTAGTTGAATAATGTGCTATTTCAAAAAAATTAGTCCACCTAAATATAAAATTGATATAATTTATTATACTTTATTGAATTGATACACTATTCAAATGCCTCGACCAACATTCCCAAGTGTCCAAGTCCGAACCCCTCTTTTCAATTGCCCCATCTCTTGTGTGTTTTAAATTTGAATTCAAAATGTGACCCATGAATCTAAAGTTGCTAACATGTCATCAGACTTATCGCATAAATGGTGTTTGTCTGCCCAATGAATATTCTAATTGTCCACTTTGACTCATTTTCCTGTTTAGTACTTATAATTGTGTATGTAGATGTATCTATTTTATACGTATACGTATATAGTATGTACACATATAAATGTCTATGTTCCTACTATATATACCCGCACTATCATTTGACTTGATCATCGTCTTCCCCACCTCTTTCATTCAAAACTATTACTAGTAATAATTTGGAGCTGCTTAGGGCATCGATGGAGTTCGAATGTGAGAGCAAAATCAATGGGGGACGACGAGTTGGGCTGATATACGACGAGAGGATGTGTAAGCATTCCACTCCAGACGGCGATCCTCACCCCGAAAACCCCAATCGCATTCGTGCCATTTGGAACAAGCTACAAAACGCCCGAATTCCACAGAGGTTCTTCTCTTTCTACCTACATATACACACACACATATGTGTGTGTAACGTGTTCAAGTTGTTCACTTTGCTTTCAAAATCGTTTCTTTTAAAGGAGGAATCCAGCTTGTTTAATGTGACTGTATTTGTATGAAATGCTAGTGTGTATTTCTGGGTGTTTTAAAGCGAATCTAATGATTTGATTGTAGACATAATATTGACTTTACTCTGTCAGTGTTCTGATTGAACTGTTGGTAAGTCAAAAGTTCTGTGATTATTGATAAGATCATGAAATTATTTGATACTTAATTGGAAGTGTAACATTTCTTCTTAAATTTGGCTTAATTTTTGTTTTTGTTTCATCCACTTGGAAATTTAATATTTTCATAGTGATTGGACCAAAACAGAACACAGGACAATAGTATTATGCCCCTGTCTTTTAATTTTTTTTGGTTTTCCCTTTTTATCTTTGATTTGTTGAATGATGATGTTAATTGTAATAAATCCAATTTGGGCCTTCCAAAAGGGGAAAAAAAAGTGCATGAAAGCTATTCTGAATGTTATTGATGATTTGGTTCTTTCAGGTGTGTGGTTTTGAATGCCAAAGAAGTAGAAGATAAATATATAGCTTCAGTTCACAAAAAAAATCACATTGATTTGATTAAGAATATAAGCTCCAAAAACTTCGATTCGGAAAGAAATAGGATTGCTGCCAAATTTAATTCCGTATATTTCAATGAAGGCTCATCAGAAGCTGCTTATCTTGCAGCTGGCTCTGTCATAGAGGTAATCTCCAGCGATTGTTCTATATATTTGAAACTTTTTATGTGCCTCTGTTGAGCCTTGGGAGATTATGCATGATACATATATTCTGTTCCGATTCTTCTCCATTTTATTTTCTGTTTTGAATATGTGCTACTATTTCTACATTTTAGATTGCAAATCATTTCCTACATTATTGTGCCCACTATGTTCCATTAAGGAAACTTAAAGAAACCTTTGTTCTGAATAACACCTAACTTTAATACAATTAGCTGAATTTTGTTTACCAAAATCACCCAATAGAAGTGGCACATTATGAGGACTTTGTATGTCAACATTGCTTGGTGTAATGGTAAAAGTTTGGTTGTTATATGTGAAAATGCAGGTGTGAGCATGAGAGTGATCACTTTGCGTGAATAAGCTAACTTTATATTTGTATACAGTCTACCTCTCCTAACACCTTGCATTGGTATAACCAACTTTAATTTATGATTTTTAAGAAGGCATTGTACTGACTTTTTTAGTATTTGCTTGAACTATTTCCAAAAAGAAACTGACAGATTGATGTAAGATGAGTTCTTTTGGACTCTTCTATCAAAATTTCATGGTTAAGTTTATTCCATTTATCTATATTAGTCTGTCTTCATTTTCCAATAGTGTGCCTGAATTATAGTTTGACCATAGCTACAAGCTTACAACTCTTTACTAAACCTTATTTTTCAAGTACTTGGGGTCAGCTACGTCTCCGTTTGTGGCGTGTGCGCGTTTCTTTATTCTAATAATTCAGCCTAGTTTCCAACTGGAACTAATGTTAGAACTGTTTATTAAATCAAAGTGTCGTATGAACTTAATACTTGATTTTTAAATGTTCAAGAGACTAATGTAGATGTTTGCTCTTGTAGGCTTCTGAGAAAGTTGCCAAAGGGGAATTGAATTCCGCCTTCGCTATTGTCAGGCCTCCAGGACATCATGCAGAAGAAGATGAACCGATGGGATTTTGTCTACACAACAATGTTGCTATTGCAGCAAGTTTTCTCTTGAATGAAAGAGTGAGTTTTTTTATTCTCTAATTTTAATTTATTCTAAAACTCGATCAATCAGGGATTCATTATGAATTTTGAAACACGTGCAGAACATGTATATATCATATCCTTAAACTTTTCCTTTTTTCTTTTCATATTGTAGACAGAGTTGGGTATTAACAAAATCTTGATTGTTGATTGGGATGTTCATCATGGAAATGGCACTCAGAAAATGTTCTGGAAGGATCCTCGAGTACTGTTCTTCTCAGTGCATAGGTTCGTAATTCTGAACCCTATTTTATCAGGGTTATTTGTTTCAACTCATTCATGCTGTTGTTACTTCCTTAAAACTGTAGTAGACATTCCTGATCATGCTGCTCCTCCAATTTGTTGGACTTTTACGCATGTTTTATTAATAATATTTTTTCTATTTACCTTTTTTTTTTTTTTTTTTGTGGTTAATGCAAACTTTGTAAGTGATAAGCATAAATCGGTAGGATTTGGCTGATAGCTGAATTGGTTGATTTTGCATATTATTTGATTAATTTAATGAATTAATCGCTTGTCATGGTGGTCAAATTTAATAATTTTTACTATGCAGGCATGAGTTTGGGAGTTTTTATCCAGCTACTGATGATGGCTCTCACATCATGATTGGAGAAGGAGCAGGTGCAGGATATAATATAAACGTCCCTTGGGAGAACAGTTGGTGTGGGGATGCGGACTATTTTGCAGTTTGGGACCATATATTAATTCCCGTTGCCAAGGAATTTAATCCAGATATGATAATAATCTCTGCAGGATTTGATGCAGGTTATCTCCAGAAACTGTCAACTATTTTTTTTAAAATTCCATTAATTATTTTTACCATCTTATTTCATTTTTTTTCCAACAACCTGAATTTGACAGCATTTTGTGTTATTAGATACTTTACTTCTATTTAAGCATTCCACATAGTTATAAGAAAGCCTTTCGCAGTTGTATGTGCAAGGGTGCCGGCATTGACATGGTGCCATATATAACTTGTTTTACTCAGCATGCATTGCTCTCTCACTTAAATTAGTTACTAATCATTCATTTCCAAGCAATTTATTCTGTATGGCAAAGATATTGAAGAGAACTTATGTACGAGATAAGAATAAATGCCAGTCGTCGGGGAAGCAGGAAAAAGCTAAAAAAAAAAAACATACAGTGAAAGAAATACGATAAAGTATTTTTTCTGTGATCTCAATCTTGTTAATCGAAAAGAAGCAATGCCTTTTAAGATGCATACCAGTTGGCAGAGTTTTTAGGAGATCATCCCCAGATATCCAGTTAAACTCATTTTCACCTTCTCACATATTGAGTCAAGGCCTAAAGGCCAAAACGGTTCCCCCTTACCCCTCCACTCACAACTAAGAAAGGAAAAAAATAAAAATAAAAGAAATAAAGGTAAAAAGAAAAAGGTTTATATGTTTGTATTTTACATTAGACAAACATACTTGATTAATTTATTCAAGTATTAATGCTATATTAAAAATTGCACAACTCGGAAGATAAAGTTAGAAATTATTTATGCATACTGACATATTATTTGTTCATTATATGCCATTTGGACTTGTAATTTTTTCCTTATTCCTTTGGATTCTTAGTGCGAGAACAAATAAATTTTTGAATACATTATGAGTGCTTGTTAGAGTTGTTTCGAGATCATGGCTGATTCAATAATGTAATTCTTGTTGGTGCTATGCTTGGAGCAGCTGTTGGTGATCCTCTTGGGGGCTGTTGCATTACTCCGTATGGGTATTCTGTTATGTTAAAAAAGGTTAGCATGAAAACAATTAAAATGATTTTGTTTTAATTTTTTAATTTTATCTTAATCATGCCATGACGTTATTGTTGCACTACTAATAAATGACAAGTACAACATATATGGTTTATACCAAGATTGTGTTTGCTTTATATAGGCTTTTCCTTTCCTAGTTCCATATCAAAATTTATTGTTGTCTCTTCAGTTTTGTTTCTTATACATTCCATCCCATAATCCTCTTTATCATTATTTAGAATATTTTTTTTTTTGTTTTCGTTAATACTTTATGTAGTTGATGGAGTTTGCTCGGGGTAAGATCGTTATGGCATTAGAAGGAGGATACAACCTTGATTCTTTAGCAAATTCAGTCCTTGCATGTGTAGAAGTGTTACTGGCCGACAAACCTATTTCTGGATCTTCAGAGGCTTATCCATTTGAGTCCACATGGCGTGTAATTAAAGCGGTAAAGCAGATTTATAATTTTGTGTTATCATTTCTAATTTTTATATATATTTATTTACTTTGGTAGCTGCCTTTTTCTTTTTTCTAGAGCACAAGTTTTATAAATTGTAGCATTTTTCTTATAGTGAGGCATGAAAACCTAAGACAAAGATGATTCATGTTGTGAACCCTGCATATGATACTGAGGCATTAATGATCTGTGTTCAGGTTCGTGAAAATTTGAGTGCATTTTGGCCAGTATTTGCAGATGAATTGCCAAAGAATTTGCCTCGTACAAAGACGCCACCAATTCAGGTGATATTTCATATCTTTGACTATCTCTTGTTGAAGTTAGACTCCTAAAAATTTAGCGTGGAAACTATTGTTTTTATTTGTCAAGTCCCAATACTGTGTCTCATATACTTTTTACATCACAAGACATTTAGAAGTAAAAGTTACAACATCTCAATAATTTAATTTTTTTCTTCATAAATAGTAATTAAATATATTTCTTAGCCATTAGAGTTTTCATACATGCATTGCTTCTGATAAAGACACGGTGTAGAAGATAAGTACGTCTCATCACATGAATAAAATATGATTTATCTTTTATATAAAGAATATTCTTGCTACATTCAGACACAGCTTAGTATCCTATGTACTATCTGTTTATTTATTTATCTACTGTAGGTATCCCCTTTAGTTATAATTTTGAATCTTGGTCCGTGGAATTAATGTGTCAATCAGTGAAAGATTTATTTTTAGATTAAAAATGTCCACATGTTCATTGGTGGTGAAAATATATAGTTTCTCAACATTTTTTTAATTAAGTTGTGTTTGTTTTCTCTATCAAACAACTAATACATAATAAGATTGGGTTGATGATTTCCTAAATGTATAACTATATGCATATGAGGGTTTTTCATTATTCTATTGTTTTGTCGTATATATACTACCTAATGTTTTCCTTATTTATAGATCTCAAGCTCTGATTCTGATAGTGAGCATGACAACGTTATTTTATCAGAAGATCTTCAGGAGGCTGTTCAGGATGTTATACAACCCTTGTCGAAGTTGACTGTCTATGAAGATAGTCACGGTAAAAGATAAATTTTAGTCATTGAATGCCTTTGTCAATAAAAAATTTCCACATCTTTGTCACAAAATTGGCTTTAAAGCTAATGTAGATTAACCGACTATTGTTTTTTCTCCCCCTTGTATGTCAAATTTCCTAAACTTTGTGATTACATGGTTGTTACAAAGAATGTACGAGTGAAGCCAGCATTGTTTCTCCCCATTGGAGGTCAAAGCTTTCTCAGACTGATGTTTGGTATGCTAGTTTTGGATCAAATATGAATAAATCAAGATTCCTATGCTATCTTCAAGGTGGACAGGTGAGTTACTTTCCAGGCATTTAAAAATGCCTTTGATACTAATCTTAAATATATTTTGATAGGAATCCAGAGCACGCTGAAGAACTTCTTTTTCAATTCAGTTTTACATTTACTATAGACCTAATATTTTGAAAAACTCACTGACAATCTGAAATATATAGGTTCCTTATCTTACCTTCCACACATTTAAATTGTGTTTGATACTAATGTTAAGAGATATCTTGATAGGAATCCAGAGAACACCTTTGAACTTTAAAATTCAGTTTCACATTTACTATTGACCTAATATTTTTCAAAATCGTTGCCCTAGTAATGCTGAAAATCTGAAATGTATATGTTCCCTAAGTTGGGTTCTATATATTTCACTCAGGGATTAAGTAACCTACACTATACGTCGATAAAACTATCATACTCCATTTTATGAAATACATGATTTATTCTAACTTTTTTGTCTTATCTCAGCATTCACACCTACTTCAAAATACGCGGTGTCTGTGAGATGAAATTAAAAAAAAATATTTGAAATTCTGGCTAGCAATCAAGTCAAAACTTCATTTTGCCACTTTATTGCAATGCTCAACTTTTAGGCTCCTTTTGGATCTTGGAAGCTAGTAATAGTCTGCCAAGCTTGCTTTTGGAATATTACCAGACATCACTTATTTATTTGTTTATTCTATGTTTTGGAAGTTTCTATTTCTGCAACCCATGTGAGAGGGAGGCTGTAGATGTAGCCTTTTGGACTGCAAAGATGGCATTTCCCTTTACTTTTTTAACATTTGTCAAATTACTTGTAGGTGGAAGGCATGCGAAAGCCGTGTTTTGGTTCGAGTGACAAAAGCTCGCCAAAAGAGAGTCTGTGGAAAACTGTACCTCATCGTTTATTCTTTGGCCGTGATCATACGAGCGCTTGGGGTCCTGGAGGAGTTGCTTTTCTTCATCCTGAAAGTAACATCAATGATAAAGCACACTTGTGCCTGTATAGAATTACGTATGTGGCTAATGACTTGGTTCCCATTTATGTGTCAAGTTGCCTCTCTTTGTCTTCTGCTATTGATCCTTTTGGAGCTCTCCCATAAGAAGGGTTATTGCCTAGTTTTATTTAGGAACTTGAAAAATCTGATAAAACATGCCACTGTAAAATGGATTTTTATGCTAGTTCATACATCTCAGAGGCTGATTTATAACATTCTGTTGTTCTTAAATGTTATTATTTTTTACAGGCTTGAGCAGTTCAATGATGTTTTGCTTCAGGAGAATGTGCCAAGCTATGACATGAGGTCTCCTTTATTTGATTTGACTGCTTTAAATTCCATCGCAAAGAAACAGTACATTTCTGTGGAAGCTGTCAAGGTAAGTTCTGTGGTCTTGTATAGTTTTATAAATTTCTGCTTGTGGCAACAGCGTCCTTTTAGAAAACTCATAAATAAACGTAAATCTTCACTAAACCAATCCTGTTTATCTTACTGTTTCAGTCATTCAGGCTCTTTGTTCTGACTCTTTCTCCTATATTATTTAACCTGCTACATCTAACATATCATGCGGCAGACATCAACAAGAAATAGATGGTTAACACTTAGTGGTTGTTTTTACCCATTTCTAGATCTACCCGATCAATCATTTGGTGGGTACCAAAGATCCATCTTGAATAAAAAAATGACCCGCATTATTATATAACCTAATTTATCATGCTAGAGGACAATAATAATCCTAGCTAGTTTTTGATCATCTATATCTGAATTCTTTCACGAGGGCAAAGTATGTTCAGGTATTGGGCTATTTTTGAAGCATGTGTTTATGCATCTCAATTTGTGTTCTCAATACGTACATGATGCTGCTTGATTTTCATGCAGAGAGGCTGGTACAATAATGTCATTTATATGGGGAAGGAGAACGATATTCCAATACTCACGATGACGTATGCACGTTTTCTTTCTTTTATCATTTTGGTTTTAGAGGAAGTCACTTCTGTCATTTGTTACAATCTTGTATATGAAATGGATCTTATTTATTGCTTTTAATCTAGGTGCACTCTTGCTGACACCAAGAGTTTCGAAACTGGGAAGCTTCCTTTACATGCACCAAACAAAGATTATGCGGATACCTTGGTTAAAGGCTTAGTAGGCGGAAACCAGCTCTTAGAAGAGGAAGCCATTGCTTACATACATGAAGCTTCAACTAAACCACTGTGATTGGTTCATATTTATCCATTCGTTCAGGGAAGCAATCACTTATTGCTAGTAGGTAACCTTAGTTATGGACACATTGATTAGGTAGTTGTGGCAATTAGATTATGATTCAATACTATGGAAGTGATTTAAATGGCATGCATATGATTTGCAGTCTAGATCAGATATTAGAAAGTTGAGCAACTAATGCAGTTGCAAGTATCAATGATCTTTCTCGCTTTAAGCATAACGTTCGGATTATATTTTTCTACTGTCTGTGTGCATATACATAGCTTGCTTCATGGTAGAGATGAGAGATGCAATCCAATCGACCTGATGTCAAGCAGTTGGCTAAAATTGTTGCAGATGCTCTCTTTGCAAGGCTAGCATTACTTTTCATTCTTTTAAGGGCTAAAATCATAAAATCCCCCCAATACTATCATTTTTTAAATCATAAAATCTCAACTTGTTTGTAAAAACCTTAACAATATTACAAAGTTATCATTTTGTTCCAATTCTGTTAGTTTGGGACGTTAGCCCAACGCGTGGTCTTCACATGCATTGCCAATTAAATTTTAGTGACAAAACTACTCCTGCAAGAAAAATGTGACAACCATGTGCTATCAAATTTTATTTTTATTTGTTTTGTGCAAGAGGATAATAATGTAATTTGTAAAATATGAATTTTTTTTTTTGGTTTTTTTTTTTTTTTAAAAAATAAAGTGGTATATCATAAGGGTAATTTAGTCATTTAACAAGCCCTTAACGGTTCATTGACAGAATTGGGGCGAAGTGATAACTTTGTAATACTATTATGGTTTTATGATTTAAGCCATTCTTTTAATGCTGAAAATATACAAGCATTGTCACACTAGTCAAGTAGAGCTTTTTATCACTAATGCTATGTGTTGATGCGGAAATCCTCATGACTCGAAACGATAGCGTTTACTTACAAAACAAAGGGACGTCACCTCGAATGGCACCGGTGGGGTACTGGCCGATGACCCTCCGACGATCAAGTTAGTATTTGTAACATTATCACATAATAATTATGTATATTCTGTTTAGGGGTTTTTTCTCATACCTTCTTTAACAGCTTGGTGCTCTATTTATGGCTGTCGATTGGAATCAGATTGATCCCGCGGGAGATCGGCTTGTGCGAGATCAGAGGAGATCGATTGTTGTCAGATTTGTCGGGATAAGATTTACTCTTTTGACTTCCTCAAATTGTGCCAAGGTTATCCTCACCCTGTTGAACCACGTCGTCATTCATTATCCTGGATAAGAAATGTCATCATTTTTATCCGAGGAAAATCTTTATCTCTGATAATGAAATATGTCGAAGTGGTCTGGCGGCTGGTCAAGGTAAGCTATTTTTCCCTATCAGTTGCCCCCCATTCCCAAGCTTGCTCGTCTAGCTTTGGGAATGTCAATTTTTTTTTTAATTTTTGGCCCGGGGAACAGTACCTGTGGGTACTATTCCCGCGGTACTGTTCACGTGAACAGTAACTTTTTTTTTTTTTTTTTTTCCCCGGGGGTACTATTTTTGGTACCCTTGGGTATTCTGCCCCTAGGTACTATTTTTAGTACCCTGGGTACTATTTTTGGCACCCTTAGCTAATATTCCCTTGGGTATTAGTTTTAGTATCCTTGGATATTCTACCCCTGGGTACTATTTTTGGTACCCTTGGATACTCTGCCCTTGGGTACTATTTTTAATACCCTTGGATACTCTGTCCCTGGGTACTATTTTTAGTACCCTTGGGTAATTTTCCTTTGGTTACTATTTTTAGTACCTTTGGGTAATCTTCCCCTTGGGTGCTCTACCCCTGGGTACTATTTTTAATACCCCTGTGTAATCTTCCCTTGGTAAGGGAATAAATTGTACGAGTTTCACTCAGCTCGTCACTCCTTTAATAAGGGAATTAAATTTTATGAGCTTTACTCAGCCCGTCCCTTTAGTAAGGGAAGTAGGTTTTATGAGCTTTACTCAGCCCGTCCCTTTAGTAAGGGAAGGAGGTTTTACGAACTTCACTCAGCCTGTTCTTTTAGTAAGGGAATCATGTTTTACGAGCTTCACTCAGCTCATCCCTTTAGTAAGGGAATTAGGTTTTACGAGCTTCACTCAGCTCGTCCCTTTAATAAGGGAATCATTTTTTACGAGCTTCACTCAGCTCGTCCCTTTAGTAAGGAAATTAGGTTTTACGAGCTTTACTCAGCTCGTCCCTTTAGTAAGGGAATCATGTTTTACGAGCTTCACTCAGCTCGTCCCTTTAGTAAAGGAATTAGGTTTTTTTGTTACTCCTTTGGTAAGGAGTTTGTAATATGTTCAAGCTTCACTCAGCATGCCCTATTGATAAGGGAAATAATAATATAGGACACTTGTTATCATCCCTTGTAATACGGGGATATTGATTACGGGATTCTTTCTCCTTATAATACAGGACACTCATTATCATCCTTTGTAATATGGGGATATTGCAACTTTAGTAAAGGGTTATTTTTTATGAGCCTTACCCAGCTCACCCCTTTAATAAGGGGATATTTTGCCCAAGCTTTATATGCTTGCCTTTTAATAAGGGAGTCAAAGTTTTTCACTTTCGTGGACTTATACTTTATGCTTTCCTTGCTTTGTGACTATGGTGGTAGTGACTCGTCAAATTTGAAGTTCATGTGACTAAGCTTGGTTCCAGGTTGAAAAGACCATCATTAGTGCTTGATGGTTAAAAACCTCATAGGACCACCTTGGACATGGTGGACTCATTGATTGTAGAAACTTTATTGGACTTAGACTCATTCTCGGTGTGTAGAGACTTTTTCAGAAGATCGGGCACTGGTCTTGGACAACTAGTTTCCCGAGGGGTCACTGAAGGAGAAAAGCTAGAAACCTGACTAGCTCAATGTACCAAGGTTGGTACGTCGATCTTCTAAACCTTGTCATCATATATAAATCGACGATTGATATCATGTGATCCACTATTTTGCCCCCGATGGTGGGATCTTGGGTGATGACCCATTCTATAGACGTTTATAAAGCAGACGGGGTGCCTGGTGCTGCAACAAGTTACAGTTGTCTAAAAATATTAGATTGTATTAGAAATGATTGCTGAAAATTAACCTGTCATGGATTATCAATCCAAAATTCTGCATAATCTGAAGCCGATAGACAATTCCTGCAAATGAAGAGAAGTGACAACTGTCGTTTGGTAGGTGAAGGCTTTACTAGTAGGTAGAAATCCCCTTGTTGGTAGTGATCTTCTTGATGGGCGGAGACCAACTCACTTATGTAGGCGCAGAAGGACTAGGCCTTAGTCTTCAACGATCAGGCCTTAGTAGTTAGCTGCTGCCAGATATGAGATAGAGTTTGGTTTTAGACGACCAAACCTTAGTAGTGAGGGGACTAAGCATCACTAGATAGAAAACACCACATTGGACTGCCTGGACCGACATGCCAAATTTTGATTATTATCAGCGTACCCTGGGTGGCATCACGCAACCCACCGTTTTGCCCCCAATATGATGGATTGGTAATCATGATGTAGAAACCCGTCCTTATATAAGAACATGGAAACCCGTTGTCAACTGATGACTTTGGGATGGTTTCCATGATTGGAAACTTTCGTCTCGCCGTCCGAGCCAAGTCGCGTCAGGATTATTATTTCTTCAAAGAACTAATCGTTCCCACAGACGACGCCGACTGTTGATGCGGAAATCTTCACGACTCGGAACGACAGCGTTTACCTACAAAACAAATGGACGTCACCTCGAATGGCACCGGTGGGGTACTGGCCGATGACCCTTCGACGATCAAGTTAGTATTTGTAACCTTATCACATAATAATTATGTATATTCTGTTTAGGAGTTTTTTCTCGTACCTTCTTTAGCAGCTTGGTGCCCTATTTATGGTTGTCGATTGGAATCAGATTGATCCCGCGGGAGATCGGCTTGTGCGAGATCAGAGGAGATCGATTGTTGCCATATTTATCGGGATAAGATTTACTCCTTTGACTTCCTCAAATTGTACCAAGGTTATTCTTACCCTGTTGAACCATGCCATCATTCATTATCTTGGATAAGAAATGTCATCATTTTTATCCGAGGAAAATCTTTATCTCTGATAATGAAATATGTCGAAGTGGTCTGGCGGCTGGTCAAGGTAGGCTATTTTTCCCTATCACTATGTTTGGTTGGAGGAAAGGATTGACGAATGATGGATGAAGCTTTTCGTGTTTGATCAGAGGGAAAGGAAAAAAGAGAGGAAGCAAGGAAGGATGAAGCATCCCTACTTCATCTTTTCATATTCTGCCCAGTTTTGGGGGAAGGGAGGAGAGAGAAAATGAATAATTACTTAGAAATATATAATCTTCAATTTTTACCTTTTCAAAAAAAAAATTAAATGAAAATTTTACCTTTCTTTCAACCAAACAAAAAAAAAAAATTATCACCGCATCCATTATTTCTATTATCCATTCAACTAAATAAAAAATTGGAGAGACACTTTCCCGTCTTTAAGAATTTCTCATTCATCCATCCTCCTATCTCTTCCATATATTTTTTTATTCTTCCATCAAACGAAGCATAAATGAGCTTTGTATGAAATTGATATGCATTGACAATTTAAATAGTACTAACTAGCTATGATCTCTTCCATATATTAATCACAATATTTGTATTTCCCACATTCATTTTATGAACGTGTTTTTCAACTTTCTAACATTTTCTTTTTTGAAGTAGTAGGAAAATTTGGACGTGCAATGTTTGTATATAATTTATACAAATTGATAATATACATTAAATATATCATATATAACAAAAAATAAATAAACATGGTGTTTCTTACTCATAGAATTATATATGATATATTATTTATATAATTCAAGCTAATATTATCCACTTGGTGTTCACTGTTGAAGTTTTATAGCAAGTTTAATTCTTAATTAAATATTAATAATATTGCTACAAAATGAAATAATTAGAATATTAATATAAAAAAGGAGAACCCATTTAAAAAAAAAAAAAAATATGTTGAGAGAAAGACAAAAAAAGAAAAAATAAAGACACATTTTTATTATTTTTCTATCGAATCACTCAGAATCAGTACATTGTTATACATTTTTATTATCAGACACATTTATGTGCATGCAAAGGTTGTAAAACAGAAATAAATGTAACTTTTGTCTCATGGTATGTTAATATAATGAAACTTTTATTGGTTCTTTTGCGTGCTAATAATTAAAAATTAAAAGTTTTAATTTATGAATTTTTAGTATAAAATGTATATAAAAATTTGCTTACACTTTTAGCTATAGATAGAGGTAGACATAGATACACCAATGATAAGAAATTGAATATGATTGTTATGTATTTTTAATAACTAACTTATTTACACTTATATCATATACAATGTTTTTGGTGTGGAAAAATATATCTTGTTCACTATATTATTGGCAAAAAATATACACCACCACTTTGTAACTCAAATTTTATGGTCTGTTTCGAAAGGTAAAAAAAATAACACTAGGCCATTGATATACACGATCAAATATAAATAACTAGCTTAGTAATTGTATTATAAAACTCAACTTTCAATTTTGAAAATATATATCATATATGACTCCTCGATTCGACTCACTCACTTTAAAAAAAATTTAAATTTGAGTAAGAAAATTATTCAACCGCCAAATATTAAAATTAAATTTAAATCTTGATAATTATAATACGATAAATAGTGGTAACATTACTCACACTTCAATTCTCCATGCAGTTTTACAGATTGGTCAATAGAGAATAAACTTTGGAATATCACGATCATGGTAGGACATCCACTATGACATTTATACTTTTTCCTTTTTTCCTTTTTTTCTTTTTCTTTTTTGCTTGCTTATTGAATAATAGAAAGAATTGTTGTAAAATATTAAACATAATACGAGTAATATTTTATTATTATTTAAAAAAAAAACTGCGGTGGCTCCGTGCTACAGCACTTGAAAGTAAATGTAACCAATGGCGGCTGATTAGCCCAATAGTGAAAAAAAATTGTAGAAATTAGAAAAGGACATAAACGACACCGTATCACAGGCTTTTATTTGGTCAACATCAAGTGGAAACGACGACGTTCCATTCACTCACAGCTAGTCAGGTGGATTTGCTTACATTCGCTGCCATTCTCGAAAAGGAGAGTGCACATTAGAGCTTTTGAAAACCCTATTACTATTTCTATTACAAAACAAATTCGGATCTGCAGTACAATCTCTAGGGTTTCTGAAAGAAGAAGAAGAAGAAGAAGAAGAAGGCCGATCGAATCAAATGGCGATGGCTGCGTTGAGGCGAGAGGGAAGGCGTTTCGTCCCTCTGATCTCTCCCAATCCCATCAATACCCTCCGATCCTCTCTCGTTCCTTCCCAGTACGTTATCCTTCCATTTCCATTTCCATTTCCATTTCCATCTCTCTCTCTCTTTCCACACACACACATATACACATACACACACCTTTGGAGATCTAGCATGTAACGAATGTAATTTGTACATCTGCACCTCAGGTAAGACCTTATGAAAACATTATGTTCACTTGATCAAAAAAAAAAAAAAGACATCGACGCATTAATGCAGATGATAACCAAGATAGAAAAAAAAAATTCTAGAATGGAACTCAAAATGCTTATGTAGGAAAAATTTATGGAGTGTATAAGAGGGAGGAGATTGGGATGTGGGGTTTTAGCTAGAAATGAGGTTGGGGAGTTGGGATTTTGCTACGGCAATTTGGGATATGTCCTTGTAACAAAAAAGTGCGTATATCGTAGGAGGAGGTCAGTGTCTGTGTGAACTTTAAGAATCAGATAAGAAAGTGAAGAAAGTAGAATTGTCACTATGCAAAACGATGTTGGAGACTGTGATACGGTAAGGGAAGAGAACTTTGAATGTTGACCATATGATTAGTTCTCATATGGTCACGTCATTCATCCGTACCGTCTCAAATTCTTCAAGTAGAGTTTATGCCCAATGGAATGTTTAAACAGGGAAATTTATAATTTGTATAAAATTTTAAATCTAACACGAATGATGATCTGTTCCTGGTCTTGTCTTCCTGTTTGGTGTTGTAAATATGGCATTCTATAGATTTTGGCTTTAATATATATTACAATACGTAAGGGCATTGTACTAGAACAGATAATATGATAGATTTGGTTGCAAATTTCATGAATCTTTTATGAAATGGTGGTGCATTGTGTACGCTTCATGTGTAAAAATGAAACAATTTGAAGGGTTTATCTACTCTCCTTAGGCTACTTGATACCCATGGTTTGCGGGTGATTGTTTCATCTGCAGATATCAGTCTTATCTCAAAATGATTTGGTGTAGCCAAAATATTGAAAGATTTAATGAAGTCATAGTGGAGGGTTTTTATCTTGCCAATTATGAAGGTAGTATGTAAGAAAATATTTCAAGAAAAACAAAAAGTAGTGAAGTTTAGAGATCTATTCATGGATTAGGAAACAAACTTGCAGATTTTAATGGAGAGCAAACGCATTCCATATCATTTTGAAAAGTGTTTTTATCAATATTTGTGAAAGTAAATAGAACGTATGAGTAATTGACACATTAGGAAAAGAAAGGCACAGGCTTTAGGTATAACAATATGTATTTTACTTGATTTTGCTGAAAGTAGAGAATTAGATGAGAATGGCCTTAACCTGAAAATCCCGAAGGAAAGTTTTATTTTGTTGATACCCCCATGTACAGTTGATTATGATTTGTGTTCTTTGGATGCAATCAGTTAATAAAAATGTGATTCTACACTTGTATAGGAATTTTACAGGATAATAGAAATGGACAGAGTGGAAAAGATGGTGTTATTTTGGATTTTGTCCATATTTTTCTTTAACTTTTCCATAGCATCGTATTCTTTTGGGAGCGCTCCCCTCTTGAGCGCCTCTAATGAATTATTACTTATCAAATAAAACTTTCCCATAGCATCAATTTGTGTGGCAGTTAGTGCCCATCCTTAGGCTGCAATATCATGAAGTGATGGCTGAAATTAGTTGGCTCTAGGTTACATATTGAAGAAGTTTGGTGAATTCTATACATTGCATGTCATGCTTAGGTGTATTTTCCTATTATTGTTGGTTTTTTATTGATCATGTTTTGCATTCTCAAATATGAATGAGTATCAAGTGACACTTGAAACCATTATTCTCAATTTTGACACTTTGATTTAATTTTAATGGGCGATGTGCACCATTTTTAGATGTGATTCTCACTGACATATTGATACCTTGTTCCTTTAGATATTGTTGTCCATTTTTCTTTAGAAAGTCACATCATATATCGTCTCCATGAACCTTATTTTAAATTTTTTGGATGCCAAAGCATTTCCATGCTCTTAACTGCTCTAGTCTTGTCTATTAGAAATATTCCAACAAACAGCAACATATATATGCATGTTTGCGTATATTTATAATCTTTTAATTCCTGTATGTGGATTTACATGCTTTCTACATCTAATTGGCAAAGATTTCAAAAATATTTACACTAAAATCTGATTTTCAGACATCATTTTTATAGTTGCTAAACAAAACCAAGCACCTTTGCTAGACTTAAGTTTAGCTTGCTTGAAGGCTTTTCCAATTATGTCAACAAGTAGAATTAGATGAACTTGAGCCTCACCAGGCATAAGTGGTTTTGTTGCTAATTCGGTAGTAGCTTCTTGCAATAATATGATCCAAAGAGCATGACAGTCAAAACAGAAGTAATTAGAAATCTAGAGAATCTGAGAGGAATGATTTTGTTTCGATTGTTACAATTTGATCAAATTAGCAGAAGTTATATAGATGTAGGAGGTAAACCTTAAGGGGCGGTTCAGGGCTCCTTTTCTTCTTCTTCTTCATTTTTTTTTTTTTTTCTTCTTTTCTTTCTTTCTTTCTTTTTCTTGTTCTTTTTCCTTTTTATCTTTTTCTTTTTCGGTGCCTGTTGGGGTCCTTACAGTACCATTTGGTCCATTTTCAACTTTTAACCTTGTTACTAAAGTTGCTCAGCTCAATCTACTCTGGGTTTAGCTTAGAGGAGAGAAGCTCTGCGGGTTCTTCTAAACAATTGCATGCAAAAGATGGAAAAGTCTTGTTGTTCATGCTTTGTGTATGGTGGCTGGTTTCTTTTAAAAATCTAGTGTGGCATATTTAGTCATGCAGCAGGTTGAAACTTATCAAAAAAAAGAGTCATGCAGCAGGATGAAAACCAAACTACAATGAGGATTATGCTTACTAATGTTTTTTGATAACTAGCTTATGCTCAGGTCACTATAGGGCTTCCCTTTTTGGTCTTGGTGTTCACACTTCATCCTTAATTATCTCAATCTTAATTTAAGTAAATCCAATCTGGTGTATTGTTTTGTACAATGGTAAAAGTTTGAGTTGCCAATCTTGAGAACTTGATTATGAGTTTGAGAATAGCTACTTTCTGCAAAATAATGTGAAGTGTTAGATTGTCCCGTTTTCTCCTTGAAACACATGCATAAGAATGAGTAATACTGGGTAATTATACCTTTTAAAGTAAATTGAGTCGGATCTAGTATCATCTAGAGGGGAAAGAAACTAAATTATGAATTGGAATGTTGTTACTTTGTACAGAATAGTGTCAAAACTTTTTAGAAGTGTAGTAAAAGTGTTGTTAAAGGTGTGCCTAGGCATGCACCTAGGCTCCAGGCTCATATAGGTGTAACACTTGCGCATGTGTGCCCAAGTGCGACTTTGACAACATTTGCGCCTTTAATATGGAATATGAATATTCTTTAATAGTAATTTATTTTTTCAATTGTGCAACTCGCTCCTTGCCTAGGCACCAAAGGACCTCTAGCGCCTTAGTGCGCCTTGGGCCTTTGATAACATTGAGTAAAACCAAACTAAATAAATAAAAACTTGTTTGATATCATAGTTGTAGTTTTTTGATCTACTTACATGCAAAACTGGGTGGTTATACATATAAGCAATCAGGTCGTGGCATATCATTCAATCTTCTTTTTCCTGCAAATAATTTGTTAATGATAAATGGTCACTGAGACGAGGAATATATCACTATCAATCTATGGTTTTGAAGACTATGACTTGTGAAAAAGAAGATTGAATAGAGCTGGTGAGGGTAAAGGTTTCTCCAAGATGCATCCTTTACATTTAGTGCCAACCCAACTACTGGAGGAGAAATTAACAGCGTGGTTTAGGGCTTGTCAATTTTGGTACTATTATTGTTTTATTTTCTGCGAATTTTTTAAAATAGACCGCCTTTGTAAGGGTTTGCAAATATCACCATTAAGCATACAGAATGAAGATTTCTTAAATCCTAGTGTGATACAGACACGATGGTTATGATTCTTATTGCATTAAGAGTTCCACTAATAATTAGAATCCATCCTCAACAACCTTTATATTAAGTTTGGTCGTCATATAACACTAACCATTTTTGTTTCATCTTTTGTTCCACCTCTACAATGTTGTGTATCTGCACTTCTAGTCCTTTAACTAATTTAGTTTGGGTGGGCAGGGAGCAGGCCTCTCTAGGTGTTCGTTCTATCTCAACTCAAATTGGTAAGAGTTGTCACTATCTCATAGTTTCTGCTATTTCTCATTGTCATTACTTACATTATTTCTTCCTTTCGGTAAATATACTCTTTCTGATGAGTTTTGACTGTTTTTTGTTTGTATTATTACTTATGCAGTCCGAAACCGTATGAAGAGTGTTAAGAGTATCCAGAAAATTACAAAGGCAATGAAAATGGTTGCAGCCTCGAAGCTGCGGGCAATTCAAGTTAGAGCTGAAAAGTCCCGTGGCCTATGGCAGCCATTCACAGCACTTCTTGGTGACTCCCCAAGTATGTTTGTCAATAGATCTTCACCATTTACATGAACCCATGAAGTCAACTAGAGTTTTGCTTCATCATCAAATATAGTACTGTTTGAGATGATATTCAAGTTTAGCAATTTCATTTTTCATACTTTTTAACTATAAAAGTCAAAAATTTTCTCATACTTTTTGAATCTGCACAAGCATTCCCATGCTGTGCCTTATTTGTGTTTTATTTGTGTGTTTGTTTTTTGTTTGTTTGTTTTATTGTTTGTTTTTCTCAATGCTGCATCCCTTAAAAACTTGTACACAGAGTGTCAAACGAACACAGTTATAAGATTGAAAACCAACTGCTGCAAGAGCCCAAACTGTGTCTCAATGGATATTTTAGGAGCTGCAGCTTGATGCTCTAGCCTAGCCTCTCTCTCTCTCTCTCTCTCTCTCTTTTTCCCCTAATATTTTTATGGTTTCTTTACTCTTGTACATCCAATCGTAGGACGTAGAAATGGCTCCAGAATAATAGATCTTCTGATTGGCGCATAATTGGAGAGTATCTTGCTTTAGGAGTATTGTTCTTTCCAAGTAAATGTTATTTTAGTAGTTTAACCTGGATGAAATACTTCATGAGAATTTATCTATCTAATCATGAATCTGGATTAAATGTATTTAATTGGTACCAGTTGCTGCAAAATGATATTTTATTTGTTTCTGACTTGAGATTTGTGATGTATTTAATCGGTACCACTGGCTGCACAAATAATGTTGTATTGTTTCTGACATGGTAATTGTCTGTTATGTTTTTACTGTCCTGCTATTGTCTGCCATGATTGTAGCATTCACCTATAATAGAGCGTACAAAATTGAAAAGACTAAGCTAGTACTCTGTTACATTTTATTGAGATTACCAGTAATGCTTACCCCAACAGATGGCCCTCTTGAAATATGTGGCTATTTTAGGCTGATAAAATACTGGCGGTGCTCAAAACAAGTTAATTATTATTTTTTATGTGGAAACTATAAACTAGTTGTATGCTGCAGTTGGGAAATTGAGTGGATTAAGTTGATTCTGAACATGCTTTAATCATTCAAGCGTCAAGCGAGAGTTTCCCCAAATATCCTATTATAGTCAACACCGAAATTTACATTCTGCAGAGGGACTTCAGACATGAGTGCCTTTATAGTCCTGACAGTGGCTTGGCAGCACCTCATGCTTTATTCTATTTCAAATCCTCCAATTCTCATGGTATTTTAGAAGATTGGTTTTATTTCCGTAGAACAATTTAAATTTTCAATATAGTACTCCCTTTGTCCTAGAATAAGTGTGTTGCTTTCAGTTTTGTTTGCCCTGAAATGTGCATCCACTATCAAAAACTCAAAGCATACTCATCACTTTCCTACACTCCCCTTAATACATGGTGAGTTAATTTATCTTAAAATGTTATTGTTACTTTTGGCAAGGACATTTTGGGAAGGAAATACATAAAATTGAAGTTGCCAATGGATTGATTGTCTTTCCTTGAATTTTTTTGCCTTTTCGAAGCATGAATTCATTTCAGGGTAGATGGAATACAATAAACAAAAGGCCTTCTTTAACCATGGAACTTGATGCATGAAGAGCGTAGGAAAAGAGAACATTAATGGGGATTGAACTTACTCTGTTGGTTATTGCAAAGCCATGTTACACCTGTTGTATATGCACACACAAACTAGTTTCTGAAATGAACCACATTCTTTTAGTTCAGGCCGTTTGCAGTTGGGAGTTCCTTTTTGAGGTAATGCTTCACTGGTTTATTGGCAGAAGGCTGATTAATATATTTGATAGCGCTATCCACACTCTTATTGTTTATTGGCAGAAGGCTGATTAATATTTACAGTTTCTTTGTTCTTGACTGGCAACTCTCTCTCTCTCTCTCAAACATTCGATAAGGGCAGCATTACCCTCATTGTGTTTTCTTGTTTTGTTGCATCACCAGGCATTGATGTCAAGAAGAACGTTATCGTGACAATTTCTTCAGACAAAGGTCTTTGTGGTGGAATTAATTCTACTGCAGTCAAGACAAGCAAGGGACTTTATAAGTTGAATTCAGGTATTACTGCAAGCAATTTTTGCAGTGATTTTGCTTTTTATTTATTTTTTATTTTACTGTAAATATTGATTGGAAGCAGTTTAATAGTTGATTTTGTACTGCTACTCAGGTCCTGATAAAGAAAGTAAATATGTCATCTTGGGAGAGAAAGCAAAGGCTCAACTGATACGAGACTCAAAGAAGGACATTGAGCTAACCATAACTGAGCTGCAGAAGTCATTTCTGAACTATACTCAGGTTATTTTCTTTCTATTGCCACATATGATTTGATAGATGAAGCTGCACATTCTCCCCCTCCCCCCATGTTGCCTTAATTGTTCTGAATGCTGAGGGAGTTGAAACTGTTCATCTTGGCTAGAATTTTTTTTATTTTAATCTTCTGCTTGGGGCCTTACAAATGACAATTGACGCTTTATCTCTGAATTTTGTTGTTGAAATTTCTGTCATTCTTATATATTAAAGGGCTAACATACTTTTGGCACTGGCAGTTTCTTTTTCTTGTAATTTTCAGATGGCTTGTTGGTTGCCATTGAAATTGGTTTGTTATTGATCCACTTGATGGACCAGAGAACCAGTTCCATTTGAACAATTTTGTTCTCTAGAGGGGAGCTTATTCTTACCTTGGATAAATGTTTGGATATGAACCAAGTACTGTAATCTGGCTCTACATGGGCAGCAAACATGCTCCCAACCCATGGATCTGTGGTTTGAGAGAAAAACTTTTACCAATTTATGGATCAATCTGGGTCCTCTATTTTCCTCAAATGCACTCCCAAAAGATGATCTCGTGAGCATACACAAAATATTATAGAGAGTGATTTGTAGAGAGGAAACGTGGTACAGGAGTTCAGTCTTGTGTTGAAGGAGAATCAAGGTGGTCCTATCAATAATCAAAATGACGAAGCTGTTCTTATATATCCTAAGCTCCTAACACACGGTAAAAGGATTAAAGGATCTCTAACAAAATATAAAATGAAAAAACTTTCCTCTGGTAAATAAAATGATCGGTAACATCTATATTTATTTATCAATCTTATTGGTGTCTCTCAATGCATTATAAGCCTATGATAAATTTATTATTGAACTTGAGAGCTAACTCGAACTTCATAAGCCTTACTTAGCATAATGAAGCCGTTTCATCATAATTTACTTTGCCTCATTTATTATCTTGTACACTTGCATAAAGGATTGAAGATTGGAGACATTTCTTTCTCTTTCTCCAAGATCCTGAGAAATAAATTCAAAAATAATTTACATATGATATAATAAGTGTAAGGGCATGTATATAAACTCTCTTGAAAGGCTCTTCCAGCTCTTAAGATTCTTAATAGTTGACATTCTTGATCCTAGTCTGCTCAGTTAGGATATGAACTTCCTGAGGCACTACTCTTAGTCAAGTGAAAAAAAGTAAAATATAATTCAAAGTGAGACTGATGCATGTGTACCTGTCACTACAAATTATTTTTCAAAAGCAAGACTAGGTTACCATTTGATAGTTTTGGCCTTTTCTTTCTCCATTTTATTCAAATCTTCTATTTCCTTGCAGGTTTCTGTTCTTGCAGATGACATTTTAAAGAACGTGGAGTATGACGCATTAAGGATTGTCTTCAACAAATTCCAATCGGTTGTTTCATTTCTGCCAACTACTGCTACTGTATTATCTCCTGAGGTGACTCATTTTCTTCAACTTTATAAGCATGATTTCCATTTGGTGTTTTAGTTTGTAGATTTTAATTTGAATGTATCAATATAGGTTGTGGAAAGGGAATCTGAAGCAGGGGGAAAGCTTGGTGATCTGGATTCCTATGAAATTGAAGGTGGCGAGACCAAGTCAGAAGTACTTCAGAATCTAACGGAATTCCAGTTTTCTTGTGTAGGTTCTACTTTTAAAGGCTGGAACCTTCTTGCTTGATTTCTCTATTTTGAGTGTAGTTGGAATTAATTCGCTGACTTGGTAGGGCATTTCCATTATTAATATAAAAGTTCAGTTGTTAGAAGATAAACCTGTGCATTTGATGTTTTCAACAATTGTGGACTTTGGCATGGGCTAAGGGTTCGTGCTGCTGCTAAAAAGAGCTTTTAGTTCTCAAAGAAGATGGTTTTATGCATAGCAAATAATAGCGATGCCTAATATCAAGTCCATGCTTTGTTTAATGTGAAAATATTTGGCATTTCTTCAGGTTATGTTCAATGCGGTTTTGGAGAATGCTTGCAGTGAGCAAGGAGCAAGGATGTCTGCCATGGATAGCTCCAGCAGGAATGCTGGCGAGATGCTTGATCGCCTCACACTTACTTATAACAGGTCTCTTTCTCTGCCCCTCACTTACACACACACACTGAGAATCACACTCATTTTACAAATGGATGGGTAGTATGGGATTTAGAAGCACCATCTTTGTCACATCAGTTTTGGGTCGTTCTGTATTCGACATCTGGTCTGCACTCTGCAGTCATTCCGACGCTTCCATAAATCATGGACAACGAACAAATCATGCTAAGCTTTTACTTTAATATTATCTTTTTATACGAGTCTCTGATCTACCTTATTACTTTCACATTGATAGAACCCGTCAAGCATCGATCACCACAGAGCTGATTGAGATTATATCTGGAGCATCAGCACTGGAGGGGTAGGCTATATGCATGCACAAATTTCTGCTACTTTGTCCGATGGTGACGAAATAAAACCTTAGTGGGAAACATCATTTGCGATTGTTGATGATACCTTATAGAGAGTTTTTGTTTTGCTACTGTAATAATCTCCACGAGTCGCTCCGGAGAAGATTATTTTGATGGTTTCAGTATATCCTGGAATTCCTTTTATCATTTGCAAGTGTTGAAAATCTACAAATTGTCAACGACAGTTGGGTCCTCTTTGAATTTTCCCTTTGGGATTTGTCTGATGCTGATTATTGGGATCCATTTTACGCATCGGTTGCGTTTTATATGTATTTTCTGTTTGGAAAAAAAAAGAAGTCATTGTAAGTTTCTACAGATGCAGTCTACTTTGAATTTGTGTGGAAAAAAGCCACCTCAGAAAATTTCAAATTATTAGCAAATACTCTCGGTTGTTAAATGAAATATAAAATACTTTCTTAGGTCCAACAAAAGTAGTTTAAAGAAAATGACGCAAAAAAGTCATATGTGATGCATAAACTAAAAGCAAATTTGGCTGTGATAGCACGGGGGTCTTAAAACGGTCGAACCCTTCAAACACAATGATGTGTTCTCTATTCTAATAGAGTGTTCGGGTTTTTCCCTCGGTTCCGTTGTTGTAACGGTGTTAGCTCATTTATTGAGCCAGAATGCGTTAGAAATGGTTCTGGTGATTTGTAGTGGAACATTTGTCCCGTGTAAGTGTGACCTTGAATATATTTGCCCCGTGTACGTGTGACCTTGAATATGTTTCTTTTCCTGCTTACTGAAGTTTTGGTTTGTTGGTGTCAAAAAAGGGAAAAAAAGAAAAATTAAAAAAAAAAAGGGTCCAAAAGAAAATAATTATAAGAAAAGCAATTCTAAGTTCTAACTAATAAATGAATTTGAAAGAATTTAGACTCGCGGCCCTTTTGTCTTCCAAAAAGTATCAATATGTTTCTTTATTGGCGGCTCTGGATGGTGGTTGGTAGGATTCGCGTCCAAGTTTTTTGAAGTTGCCGCCGGCTATGCAAACTAACATATCACGTATTGAATGAAACATGGCGGGTTTGACCCGAGATCTTTAATGGATTTGGAATGTAAATACAACCGAAATTATAAAATGATCGAATTCAGTTACTCTTAAAAGTTCCTATATCAACCGGATCCTTCCTACCCCATTATTATTATTTTTTAATTTTTATTTTTTTTAACATACTAATTTCACTTTAAAAAGTAAAGGAGACATAAATATCAATTTAATTGGTCCCGCCCTTTCCCATATTATCTCATTTTTACTGGAATGCGGGTTTGAAAGTGTTGTTACAAAATTAGGAGTGAATGTAAAAAAATCTATGTCGATCAATATTGAATTTTCAGTTTTCAACAAAAATCTCTCTTAAATTTGTTCAATATTGAATTATTTGTAAAATAAATAAAATATAATTCTGGAGACTTGAAATTTGTCACTGCTGTGATGTGATGATAGTTTAAGAAGTGCTCCCCCTGTCAGAATCTAATATTTTAATAAAATAATTTTAATTATTTTTTTAAGAAAGTGATATTTGCACTTTATTGTTCTCTAATTGCATTTCACTTTGACTTTTTCTTTATAAGACACTTTTTTTTTTTTTTTTCGGAGGTCCACTGAAAAAATATAATTTATTGAATAGATATAATTTTATTTTGCCAGCCAAAAGAGATAATAAATTCAATAACGACTTCTTTTTCTTTTTCTTATCAAGATAGACAATTTATTCAACAAATAAACTTTTTCAGGTAACTTATTTTTTAGTAATTGTTAATGGGTCTCGTCAAAAGAAATATATATATTTTTTTCTTATCAAAAGATATAATTGATTCTACAAAGATTTTTTTTTTTTTCGAATTTATTTTTTCGTATTTTTTTTTTTTTTGGATCTTGACAACTGAGATAATTTATTTGATAAAAATATTTTTTTGGGTTTTTTTTTTCAGTCAAAAGAGATTTTTTTTTAAGAGGCAATTTATTCAAGAAATAACTCCTATTTTGGATACTTTGTGTTTTGTTCCTATAAAAATAAAAATAAAAATAATAATAAAATTCAACACAGCTAAATATATATATATATTTAAAATTCAACACAGATAAATATATATATATATATATATATATATATATATATATATATATATTGGTCTTGTCACCTAAAATAGTAAAAAAGATTAGAGATAAAGAGAGAAAATTTGAAAGGGCAAATAATAATCATGTATTTATAAAGTTAATGTTATAATTGCCATTTCTTTTGAGATTTGATTGTAAAAGTAGAAAAGTGGAGTGTTTTGCCTCCTTTTTTATTGTATTAGTAAAATAATATGTAATGAATTATCAAATTTATCCCTAATGGTCCACAGTGATGTGATAGTTAGCTTTTAATTTTTGATGCAAGAAAATTTTTAAATGATACACATTAGGATGAATAAAAATAGAAATGTGAACACTTTCAAATGTCTCGTAAGTACTGTCTTGTCTGTGTGATTGAGTTACTCTATGTGTTTGAAAATCCGTATTCATAATCCACATATGATATTATTAATATACATTGCTCGAGTATTTTAAACTCACAGGTGCCATGCCCATTAGCCGGGAAAAAATATTCAATATCCCGGGAGAACGGTTATGTACCACACCATATTTCCATTTATTTAAAAAAATAGTAAATTAACATTGGCCGGGGCTACTATTTTCCCGGTACCCCGGGGGTATTGAGTACTGTCTCGCCCAGTAGCCATAACAGCTTCTTGTAACAAATGCTAAACCTGCCTCGCACCAAGAATCTCCCTACCCTAGTTCATCTTGATCTTGTTTGCACCTACAAATTGCAAGATTGTTAGAATAAAACCAGTACATGCCCACATTGAGAATGTTGTCAGCTAGAGGATGTGAAAAGGCATGAACAGGAAGACATGTAACATGCCCAGGAATTATAAGCTTAGAAAGTACACAACCACAGAAAATTAAGCAAGCTCTAATCCCACCGAAACTATAGACATCACTCGATAGACCTAACATTTTAATGCCACAAATTATCATATTTATGCTGCTACAACAACCTTAACCATAAATGCTCATAAACTCCAGTCGTCCTTCGTATTGTTCCTAGTTCTGGTAGACCATGACCAGGAAAATATATAGGATAATGAACCTGCTGTTCTTTGTTTCATATTCCTCTTTGTCAAAATTGAAATATCAGTGCTTAAACAGTTCGTTAAGGATGCTCAAACGGTTAAAGAAACAAGTAAGCAAACAAATGAGGGTACGAGAAAAGGAAAATAAAATGACCAACGATCAACATTTACAGCACAAAGACAACTACCAATGATCAAGCTTTATTAATTGTTGAGTTTTTTACACCCCATTAAAATAAAAGAAGAACAACAGCAATATAGCAAATGGCAATGATGGAACAATACAACAATATAAAGAGGGTGCTCTATGGAGCCAACAACATATTAGTAGATCATAATAGAAGAAAGCAAAATTAAGAGATGAATGACACAAACAAGTACAAACTAATCCAAGGAATTTATCAGATCTTTAAAATTAAAAACCAGCCAATCAGCTTTCGCTGCAACAGCCTCTCGAAGTTGAATTCCAGCATAGCAAATAAACAAGTCAGCACCTCCTGGCTTACGAGCCTGCATGGAAACAGAAATATCACATAATAAACTTCAAAGGCATATGAACACACATAAAGAACAGCTATAATCAGAATGAAACTTCATATAAATGAAAACTGCCACCAGAATGCCGTTTCTTGCCCCCACAGAATGCCATTTCTTGCCCCATTAAAGTAGTCTAGGTTAATGACATAGCCCTTGAGATAACACTGTAAATGTATTACATTATGGCGAGTCTAGTTTTTAAAACTTTATCATTAAATAACCAAGGGCTATAGCTTAGTGGTACTTCCTCACCTTCCAAAGTAGAAAGTCGAGGGTTCAAGTCCTCTCACAAGGGCAAAGTGGGTGTGTGAGTTTCAAATAGGGAAAAAAAAAATACCATTGAATATGCACGGTGAAATATAGCAAACAGGAACCCTTCACACACACGCGCGCGCGCAAAAATGATATCCTAATGAAGCTCAGTAGTTTCTTACCTCCAGATCAGTAGCACCATCTCCAATCATGACCAATGCCTTGTATCCACGAGCCTGGAACATTTGACGAGTTTTATAACCAATATTCTTCAAAAACCAAACCAAAAGTTTGAAGTTACAAGACTGACCTTCCTTATCTGTTGAACAGCAGTGGCTTTCCCTCCACTCCTTGATGTGGGTTCATTTGTATCAAACCCCAAAAACTCCCCAGAATTTTCAAACAGAAGTCTATTGGCAAAAATATTTTCAGGCGGAATACCAAGGATTGATGCAACAGGCTTCAAAGGAATTGATCTAGTTAGTAATTTTTAAAGACAATCTGGACCTGTAATATGTACTTCAAACTAAAAAGCAAACACGCATCTTCTCCAAGGGTTCCAATATTATACAAAATACTGTACTGAGTACTATTAGAATGATGTTTTATTTATTACATGTAAATATTGTGGAGAGAAAACTTCTCATGCATTTTGAGGAAGATGAAGTCACAAATGTAATTAAACATCCTAAATCAAATTTTTAACTCATCTTTTTGGCTACACCAAAGTACTCATTTGAAACAACTTGAGCAGGACATCCCACTCATTGCCACATCAATCAACTGCTCGATATTAAATTTTGTTTCTCCTGCCATTGCGTTTAATTTCAAACCCAAATATTGCTGTGGTTAAACATGGTAGATAAGGTCCTATTATCAAGTTTCTGACTGCAAAGTATGCACCTGAATGGAAATCCATGACGTTTAAGTAGCAGCAGGATCTTGTCAGTTTAGTTATTATTAGGTAAGCACTATAATTCTGTTTCTAAAGATCAATCATTCAATAAATCAAGCTACTTCCTTTAAACTCAGAGATAGCAGGAGAAATGCTTTAATGAAACAAAGAAGCAACTAGCACAGAAATTTCCAAAAGATCATTCTGTAACATACATCGATCATTTGACGAAAGCCTCCAGAGATCAAATAAACATCGGTATTATTAGCCTTCAACTTTTTGACCAACTCATCTATGCCAGGTGAAATCCTACACATTAGAAAGTGAGAATGGGGCATTATGTCCATATAAAAAGAGACCAAACTAATTTGAAAATTTTGGAAGTTTTCATGTTGCTAGAGGAAACAAAACGAAGCAGTATAAACCATGAAATAGTGGATTCATAATGTTCAGAAAATCCAGATATCAACATTAAGTTGGTTGTACATTTTCGTTCCACACCACAATGTTTTCTAAAATTAATTTATTTCTCTGTTCTTTACATACATACTACATGTATAATTATTGTAGACTAAAAAAGTAAGATTACCAAATGAACAGTTACACTGCTATTAAAAAGAACATTTGAACTATGAGTTCATATCTAAATTTGCAAATTTAGCCCAGCAACATTACATGACAACTCTTCACAGCTTTGAGCCTTTGATGGTTGTAAAAAACATATATTCTTACAGAGGTGGATGTGTTCATAGATGTGTGCGTGGTGAATGCTAGCATCCCCTAAGATGAAGTGGTATTAGCAATTTTTAATAGACAAAAAATACTCCCATTAAAAGTTATGTTAATAACAGCATGAAAATGGTATTTTGGAAATTGGTTTTATTTTTTGTTATTGGTTTTACCTTCTTTTACTCTTATCTGAAATCTCAAAAATCACAGTACAAGCAACTAGCTCTTTCTCATCCAATCCCCTCACTCTCCAGGTTCTAGTCTTCTAGAAGATTTGTGAAGGGTTGTTTGCAAGGGGTCACACTGGTAGTGTTTATGCACCCCAATCGGATCTCAAGAGTGTTGAATTGTCAACTATGGATTACACTGGTGGTGTTTTGTTTGAAGGTACATCGCCAAGTCATTAAAACAAGAAAAAATAACCCTAGCATATAACAACCTGGTAGTGAAAGTTCACTTACCTTCAAGTTACCAGAGACTTCATAGACATTGAGATTCAAATTTATATCTAGTGATGAACTTTCTTGATTTGATTCACACACTCACACATACATCAAAGATGAAGGTTGTACACTGACAAGAAATCCAGTGTCTCAAAGATTGAAAAGACCTGATTATCCTACTTCGAAACAACTATTAATTGTTGACAAATAAATTTAATAGAAACTATATCTTGTTTTCCAACTATCCTACATTTTTAAATCAATCAAAATAAAATCATTAACATAAACCTTGCTCAATCAGTTCACAAAATTGCATGTCCTAGTTATAATATTCTGAATTGCAGAATGAGAATATAAGGACCCCAAATTTGGCCACAGATAAGTGCAGAATCTGATAAACAAATGATCTAATCAATGTGATGTAAAGCACTGGTGGACTTAGAAATGATCACATCAAGGAGATGGTTGGACTAGCTCAAATCGCGAATAATGGACGCCAATAGTTCCATTTGTGGGGCCCCCTTATGTAATTGGGGAAGGAAGAAAAAGGTTCCTAAATTAATTAGGAATTAATTTATTCCAAATAAGTAAAGGATAAAAAAACTCATAACCGAAAGAAATAAGTGGAAATCCAACACACCAAGCAAAGATAAACTCAAATCATCTAAATAAGTTGCCAATAATTCCATTTGTGGGGCCCTTTTATATTGCTCTATTTTCTCCTTCCCCAAGCGCATCTTAGGACATTCACCCCATCAATTCCTCCTGGTTTGAGACAAGTATACTACAGGATTTTACTTGATAAAACTCAAGGAAACCCAAATTATGTCATTATGCATCCATGATTATTAAGAATGGACTGCCCACACAATGTTTGAACTTTGATGGCTTTCAATATAGCCATCTTTCAGTTTGGTCCCTATTGGTGTCAAATGATGGGCAACGTTATCTAGATAGATTTGGGCTAATCCATATGATTCTAATACCTTCTTACTAAAAAATGTCATGTCCATCTTTAAGACATTCTGTTAAATTTACAGTTTAGATATTCCGGTAATTTTAACTTTATTTTAGTGTCCAAATTGGTCACTTGCTTGATTATGGATTTCGTTTAATCCTTTTAACTCTTAATGAGTTTAAGAAACCTTTAGCCTTGAGAAAGTCTTCATACTTCTATATAAAGAAGTTTTTATGCAAACAATCTCACAACTTTGACTAATTTCAAAGGAAAATTATGTTTTTGTCACTAAATAGGCCGGCTTTCCAAACCGACTAAAACACATCCATTGGATGAGTTTATGTGGACCCCATGTGTGCATCCAATCGTATGTTTCAGTCAGTTTGGGAAGTCGGCCTATTTACTTAATAAAAATGTAGTGTTTTACTATCTTTAAATGGTGTGACCCCATTAGGTGAGACATTGAGACTCCTAAAGAGAAATCCTTCTTGAAAGTCATTTTTAATTTTAGATTTAGTATGCAAAATAAAGTCCTATATCCAACCCTTCAATGAACCTAATTTTATTTTACTAAAACCATATACCTTCAATCTAAAAGACCTAACTTAAGTATCACCACTTTTGTATGCCTATAATCTAAATTTTTCCTTGTTCAGAATTTCCAGCAAGCTTTCACTTTTTGATTCAAGACTAAAAATAGCCTTAAACGTCAACAATTCTAACTCTCAGTCAATCCATATATCCCAACCTTGCCCCTTTTTTTACTACAAACCATAAAATTTCAAACCATATACCTTTAATTTTAAATCCAAAAGCTTGAATATCACCACCTCTGTACACCTAAAATCTAAATTTTTCCTTCTTGTTCATAATTTACAGCAAGCTCTCACTTTCAATTGATGACCAAAAATAGCCTTAAACGAGAGTAATTCTAACCCTCATTCAATCACTTAATCCCAAACTTACCAACTTAACCAAAAAAACGTAGAAGTCAAAGTCATAGTCCACCATGAGATTTCTCATCTACTTTTTGTGGACGACACCCTGGTCTTCTGTGATGCTGATGTGTCTCAACTTAGATATTTGAGGTGCATCCTAGCATGTTTTCAGGCGGTTTCTGGGCTGAAGGTTCACGTGGCTTGAGCGTGCTTGTCCCGGTAGGGGATGTTCAGGATATTTCCTCTTTAGCTGCAGTCCTTGGGTGTAGGGTGAGTTCTTTTCCCATTTCTTATTTGGGTCTGCCCCCAGGGGTTTCTCCAGGAGAGTGGGGACCTGTGATTGATAGGTATACGAAGAGATTGGCAGGATGGAAGAAGCAACACTTGTCTAAGGGGGGCAAAGTTACTCTTATTAAGAACACTTTCTTGAGCCTCCCCACATATTTTTTATCCATGTTCCAAATTCCATGCTCCGTTACTGATAGGATCGAAAAATTTCAAAGGGATTTCCTTTGGGGCGGAAGGGCGAAGAGTTTAAGTATCACCTTGTCAGATGGGAGCAAGTTTGCAAGCCCATGAAATTGGGTGGTCTTGGTATTAGAAGATTGGTTCCTTTTAATCAAGCTCTCTTGGGTAAATGGTTGTGGAGATACGGGAGGGAAAGACATTGCCCTTGGTGAAGGCTAGTTTCATGTCGGTTTAGAGAAGAGAATGGTGGCTGGTCTACCCGTCCGGTTCCTCTTGTGGGAGGAGTTGGGGTGTGGAAATCCATCCGGAAGGGATGGGATGTCTTCTCTTCTTATATCAGATTCAAAGTTCGTGATGGCAAATGCGTTCGTTTCTGGGAGGATCTTTGGTATGGTGACCAGCCATTATCTCGTACATTTCCCAGATTATACAGTGTTACAGTTGATAAACACACCTACGTAGCTGACTGTTATCGGCTTGATAGTAGCAGGATTACGTGGGATGCGCATTTTACGCGTTCCTTTCAGGATTGGGAGTTGGACAAGGTATGTGTTCTTCTGGATTTGTTGTATCGGCAGGAGGCAGATGACAGAGGTAGTGACGATCTAATATAGATTCCCTCTTCCCGTGGCCGTTTCGAAGTGCGATCTTTGTCCTTATGTCTATCTAATTTTGTTAGCCTTGATTTTCCGTGGAAGACCATTTGGCATTCTATGGCTCCAACTAAGGTGGCATTCTTTGTATGGACCACTGTATGGAGTAAAATCCTGACGATTGATAATTTGAGGAAGAGAGGTAACTGTTTTGTTAATTGGTGTTGCCTATGTAAGCAAGATGGTGAGTCAGTTGATCATATCCTCATGCATTGTCCTGTGGCATACGATTGTTGGAATCTTATTCTTAGGTTGTTTGGTAAGCGTTGGGTGATACCACGTTCTTCTAAGGATTTGATTCATGCTTGAAGAGGATGTCGTGTGAGAAGTGGTGTCCGCGATTACTGGAGAATTGTCCCACATTGCGTTTGGTGGTGCATCTAGGAGAGGAATAGCAGAATGTTCGAAGGAAATAAATCGTCTACGGTGACGCTAAAACTTTATATTATTCGCTCTCTTTTCAGTTATGTGAAGAGGAGTTCCTGTTCCTCTCCCGATGATTTAATCATTTTTTTGGATTCTTTGAAGCCTTAGTCCCCGGTTCCACTTATGTGTAAGGGACGCGTTCCCCTTTTGAACGCCTTTTTTATTTAGTTCTTACTTATCAAAAAAAAAGAAGTCATAGTCCACCATATTTGATGGTAGGACAGCCCAATTCCCTTGCTTATGGGTCCATCTACTCCCACATTAGGTATTGGTATCAAATGAAGGTCTTGATTAAGAATATCATCCAAATAATGATTTAATCATTTAAACTTTACAAAGCCATTAAAATGAGGATTTGTAAGGCTTAGAAAATCATGAGTTCGAAGAACAACTCTACCAACCTGGAAGCCACTTCAAGTTGGCCAAAGAAGATTTCTGCCACACAAAAATATATTTTTTTAATAAGTAAATATATATTAACAAAGACGCTCAAAGGGAAGCGAACCCTTGACAAAGCAAACAAAAGACGCAAAAGGAATCATTACAACGATAAGTTGTCAACAAAATCCAACAAACTGTCCGCAGATGGACAATTTCTCCCATTAACCCAAGAAAAAAAAGAATGCAAAACATGCGACTTAATAGCCCATGTTGGCGCCTCCTTTCCCTCGAAAGATCTCCCGTTCCGCTCGAGCCACAGCCCCCACCAAACAGAAAGAGGTGCAACCCTCCAAGCTTTCCTAAACCGACTACCTACTGGTCTCCCTCTCCAAGCCTCTAACATGTCCACCGTGTTCCTTGACACCACCCACTCAACCCCAAACACATTTAGAACCATACTCCAAACATCCGCTGCCACTTTGCAATGCAACAAGAGATGGTTAACCGATTCGCCCGTCATCTTATATATGCAACACCAATTAACTGTTATTCGGCCTCTTCTTAGAAGATTATCGAGAGTAAGAATGCTGCCAAGTACCACTATCCATGTGAAAAAACGCCACCTTCAATGGAGTTGACATCCTCTATACAGCCTTCCAAGGGAAACCGTTGCTTAACGAATCCGTAAGACTTCGGTAAAATAACCTCACCTCAAACACCCCTCTAGAACCCTCCATCCACACCATCTCATCCCTTCCTTCCCCCTCCACCCCTTGACTATATATTAATCCCATTAAATCTGTAAATTCCAACAGCTCCCAATCATTAAAGGTTCTACGAAAGCGCACATCCCAACTAGCTCTCCCATTCTCTAACCGAAAATAATCTGCAACCACAGCAAACTTATCCTCAACCATCTTGAAAAGCCGAGGGAACCTACGAGCCAACACCACATCCCCACACCATACATCCTTCCAAAACCTCACATGCTGCCCATTCCTAACTCTAAACCGTATCCGCTTAGAAAACTCGTCCCAACCCCGCCTAATACCTTTCCAAGAACATAGAAATATAAAGAAGAAACCACTAAACTTAATAACCGCTTTGACGCTGAAAAGAAACCTCTTGAAGGGTCGAGATTAACGAAAATTCTATCGTTCATAAGATCCAATTAGAAATTCCCTTATGGTGTCTATTTGATGACATGACCAGAAAGGTACATCGTAAAGAAAGATACTCTCTCAAACAAAGCTTACAACTAGCACATGGGGGTAGCATTCGAAAGGTTTCTGATTTTAATATTTGAATCATGTGTGTTAACCCAAGCATGTGACACCAATAATGGGAGCAATTGGTCATTGGTGGGGCCCATAGCCCGTAGGAACATTGTTCTTTCTTCTCCTTTCCCAAGCATACACATTAAGGTGTTGATTTCCATCACCTCTATAAAGGAAAACTTACTTGTGTTTAATATACATAAAACAGTGTCCCTGATTATGTTATCATGTGACAGACATCCAATGCCTCTTAAGCTAACAAAAATACAATGCAACACATAATTCAGATTACCAAACTGAGCTCTCATACCTTGGGGGCCTCTTAAGGAAATCCTGGACCTGGGACAGGGAAGGGTTAAATAGAGAGAGTCTTGCGGCCAAAGCCTCCTCAAAAGGAACAGAACCACTCATTGCCCTGCAGAGAAATCAGGTTTTAAAATTATGTAACATCATCCCAATTAACAAATCAAGATTGAACAGCAAAAATATCAAACCTTGCCGTCCATTCTGCAACAGCCTTCCCAGCTCCGCAAAATTCTGCAAGTTCATCAATGCCCTCATCCTGGCATACTGTGCTATCCACATCAAAGCAGACAGCATCTGCATTTCGCCACACTTCAAGCACCTCTGCAAATTTAAGAACACACCCATTGAACGTTAAATTTTTAAGTACCAAGAACTAATGTAAATCAGTGTTGAAACTCATCCCTTAACTCGTTTTGTAATTTATTCAATCTAATGAGCAGTACATTAAAATTTTCATAAAGAAAATAAAAGAATCTAGTAATTTGAATGGAAGTTTCAACTCAGTTTGAACCACAAACCAAGCCAACTTTCATATGAAAACGAGTTTTCAAAATATGAAACACATCAATATAAAAATAAATAAATAAATAAAAACACACACACACACACTTCTGAATTCCATGTATATAACCTCTGGATGGTAGTGTGTTGTCAAGGGGGCCCAGTGCCGAGGCTTCCAACGGCTGCACCGAAGCAGCAACTGAATTAAAAGGTTTGGGTTGTTTCATCATCCCAATTGGACTTACATAAACTTTTTTGGCTAATTGTGCAGTAAATGAAGGAATAAAAGGAGATTGATGCCGTCTACAATATGCATAATTTGGGTTGATTCGTGCACTCATCAAACCCTCCATCAAACAATCTGCCATCAACAAATTCAACAAGCAACTTAAACTCAAAATCTAAAACCCATCATTTCAAAAAAAAAACACTGCAAATGCTATAATTTCTTAATTCAATCTTCACATAACCAAAACATCTATACTAGCAATCAATCGCCCTTTTAAATATACAAAATCAGTAAATCACGTAAACAACATCAACATATTTGGAAATGGCCAGCAAACATAAAGACAAATGCAAAACAATATATATATATATATATATATATATATATATATATTTGTGTGTTGTTATAGGTGTGCATATTGCAACTACAAAAAGTGAGAAGAATAAGAAGAATTTAGGAATGCGAATCAAGAAAATATGAAAGGAAAGTAGAATATACCCTCTTCTCGTTGGCTTCTCTTCTTCTTTTTGTTCACTGGGATCAGATCGTAGTACGTTGATTCGTTCAGATTTCTGTAGTTCAAATCTCATTTCAGCTAATTGTTTGGTGGTGTTAACATCAAAACAGTAAACCTTCCGGAAAAAAAAAAAAAAAAACAAAACAAAACAAAACAGTAGGGGTATGAAATGGAGCGGATAATCGGGTCCATGTGCGCCCGAACCGCTCATATCAAAATCTGAATCCGACTCTAATCCGGTAAAATCTTACAGCAGTTTGACAATTATGGGTGCTCCGAATACCTACGTATTCGGTTCGAAATCTTAGGACATATCCAATCCATTCACCAAATCTTACAACAGAAAGGATTGGAAATCAAGGATCAAACTGAAAAATAAATAGAAATCAGAAAGCAAGAGGAATGAACTTTGACCCATCGTGATGGCCCTTGCATTTTCAACTAAGGGAGATCTGAAGTTTTTTTTTGATTTTTTTTTTTTTTAGATTTGAAGTATTGTTCTCTCTCTATCATTTAAGCAAACGACGAAGTCGGATTAGGATTAGGGTTAAGCTGATATTTGGAGGTTATTATGACACATAGATTATTTCAAAAAAATTATATTTATATTTGTGAAGTCGAAATAAAATGGTATCCCATCTTAAACAAACATTTACTTCTCGCAATTACTCGCATTCTATCATCTTTGTGATGGCCTACAAGAGGTGGGTGAGGAAGTTGGTGGGGTATAGAAGACTTTTGATAATGTGAGCGAGCAGATACTCCATTTTTATGTTGCATTGATGGGCGATTATGGCAAAGGAAACTAGAAGTCCCTTTCAACCTAATGAACCTTCTCTCTCGGAAAGGTGAAGAAGAAAATGAAAGAAAGCAAACAAGAAAAGTTGAGACCTGGCCCTCGTAGGCCCTTTTCTACATGTGATGTGGTCTCCAACTTGTTTTTCTTCTTTTATTTTTTATTTTTTATTTATTCACAAAAATAATTACACAACATTTTGTTCTATAAAATTATCCAAAAATAAGATTTTGGATCTTGCGTGCAAGTTAAATTCTACATTCGAATAAACAATCATTATTCATCATGAATTTCAACCATGATAAAAATAAGGCTTACGCATTTGATTTCTCTATATTTTTTAAAGCTTTGAATATTTTATTGAATCTTGAGCATGGAAGACTAAAAAAACCAAAATTTTAAATTTTATTCTGTAATATTTTATCAAGTGAATGGACCTTAAAAGTTATCACAAGTATTTCATATTCCAAAATTCTCATAATAATTGTAAATTTTTTCATAATGCTCTAATTAATCTAAATAGTTACAAAATGAGAGACTGCGTGCTTTTTAAGATTCTTAACAAATCATCATTTTGGCAGTCAAAAATTCATCTGAGAGTTTCTGTTCAATTCTCAATATTTTCAAACAATTCTTAAAAAAATTATGAGTATTGCAATTTAAAGTAATTTTCCAATCACAAATTTGTCTAATTAAATATGAATTAATATTTTATCAGACAATTAAGTACAAAAAATACTCCCATCGTCCAAAGCAAAAAAAAAAAAAAAAAAAAAAAAAATTGGTTCCCTTTTGGGATCAAACATTTTAAGATGATGATTTTAGTATTTTTTTATTATATTTGTTGTGAAATTAGGGTCAAAAATAGAAAAATAAATAAATATATATTTTTTTGTGACCAAGAGGGAGTAATATCTTTTGAAATAAGTGAGAGACTGGTAGCCCGTTAGCCACCATAAATAACAACTCTTATATTTTTATTTTTATATATATTTTTATTATTATAAGAGTGATAATTTATGTGACCAACCAGTCTAATTAATGGAATAAAAGATAAAAGTTGATTATGATGATGCCATCCCAGTTAAACACTTTCACACTCCACCTTTCTTTACTTAAAAAAAAGAAGAAAACTTAACATAAATATTTTAATTTAAAAAATTCTTGTGCTTAACAATTATTATTATTATTATTATTTGTAAAATCAAATTTTGAGTTACAAGTATGTTATTTCCTATATGAGAAGATCAAATAAAATGAAGTGTGAAAAATATTCTTCTGTCACTTTACTTTTTTTCGTTTATTTATAGCGTATTATTTATTTTATAGGGTAGTTGTATTTCTAATTACAGAAAAAGGAAAAAGGAAAAAGGAAAAAGGAAAAGAGGCACTCCGTTTTTTTATTACCTACCTCTTCTGCCTAGATAAGGAGGAAATGGGTGTTATGATTCCGAGGAATGCACATGGTCTTGGAATATTGGGTTGGGCATCACATGGCACGCCCTTTACGGTGATATTTTTCTGTGTCAGAATCAACCCTTTTCATCCTCCTTTTCCGCTTCTTTCATAGCTCAGTAACTCCAATTCTAATGGTGAGTTTTCGCATGGTGGGTCCTTCTCATTAATGGGTTTTGCTGCTCATGCGTTGCTGTCAAATGGGTATTGCTTAGATTTCTTGCATCTTTTCACGGCTTTGGTCTATGTTGTTGGTTGTTTCTGGTAAGGGTTTGGTTGATTGAAAGTTTAGATGTCAAGGAAGGACTCTATTTGGGGCTCTTGTTCTGATTTTTTGGCCATTGTTTGTTTCTTTCATTGGAGTTCATTAAAATTAGAACGGAAAATTTGTGTTATTTTTTGCTTAATCTTGTCTTGTTGGTAGACAATTTTTTTCTGGGTTTTAGGGTTTTGTTCCTGCAAAATTGATCATTTCTTATTAAAGAAATGGAGGGTTTTTGTTGGTTGTTAGGTTCAGGCACTGTTTTTTGGTGGTTGATTACTGAAGACTTTTCGCCTTAGGGTTTATCGAAATTGAGAATTGAAGCAAGGACATTTTGTTCCATGGAAAGTAGTGTGCTCTTTTATTGATTTGGTTTATGTCTTCTTGTTTTTTTTTTCTTCTCCATCTGATTATTGCCCTGGTGAGTTAAGAGGGCCTTGTTTCTTGATCCCAGCATTGTATCTTGTTTCTGGATTCATGGAATATTTCGTCTTTGGGTTTTTCAGTCTGAGAGTTGATTCAAAGAAGAAAATTTGTATTGTGGAATTTGGGTAGTGTTCTTACAGTGGAAGGGAGAGTGAATATGGATTTCTGGATTGCTGTGGTAGCTGCTGGTGCTGGCTACATTGCCAATCGTTTGCACATTCCTTCGAGAGATGCGGAAAGTTCATCGGAGTTACTTTCAAGGGATTCCAATTTTGTGACACCCGAATCCCCACAGATGCGGCATCTCCATGGCAAGGGGTGTCCCTTCCGCAAATTGGCACAGAGAAGTAAACTAGGTGAAGATGTTTCTTTAGAAAAGGAACAGGTTACCAAAGGTGCTTCCACTGCAGAAGTGGCTTCTACTAGTGGGTTTGGTGGTGAAAAACTGGTTAATTTAGACAATTGTGAAGACTGCCGTGCACTACCTATATCAAACTTACCACCTCGGTTCTTGAGAAATGGAGACCTTCAAGGGGATAAGGAAGGAGCTGGAGTAAGTGGTGACATGGGTGAGAACTCTGGTGATTCATTATTTGAACATTATACAGGAGAAATGAGCTGTCCTTATGGTTCTGCGAGGAAGAGAAGCTCTCTTAGAAGTATACGATCCACTATGCAATATATAAGACCTCTAAGTTCTCTGGAAAGTTGCCTCATGGCTCAATTGTATAAGGAACACACTGAAATGGAGGAGTATGTGCTCACTTATGTACCATCACCATCTACACCGTCTGTGAGGCCATTTTTTGTGACAGATGGGAGGAGAACAATCAACAGATCTACGGGTAATTGTTTGAGTGCATGGAATGGAGCTGGGGAAAATAAGCTGCATAACAAAACTTCTTCAGCAGAGAATGAGACTGTCTTTGGGGTTCCTCCACTACCAAATGTTGGATCCGTGGAGCTCCCAAGGAAAATTGAAGTTAAGGCGCGAAAGGGGCAGAGTAGAAAATTGAGCACTTCCAGTGAAACGGACAATGGAAGACACTTCCTTTCACAACCTGGTATTATTTTCAATCCCTAAATAATAACTTTCAGCATTTGCACAAATATTCTTTTGATAAAATGTAAGACTTTGTCTGATAACTACTTCTAGTTTAAAAATTTTAAATTCAACTTTTAGATAGTCATATATGGTGCAGACATATAATGTGTAATCATTACATTCATCATCGTCGTCGTCGTCATCCTTGCCTTAATCTTATATGAATGGGGTCGGTTACATGACTTACAAGCCATATCTCCTATGATACTTAAAATCGTTTCTAATAACTTCTTCCCTTGTTAGTTTTTTGTTGCCCTCTCTGTCTCTTACCTTCTATGCAAACTGGTTTTCTTCTTCTTACTGGTGCATCTATAGTTCTTTGTTATATGTGTAATCATTACATTATTCAAAAACAAAATACTACTAATAAAAGTAAGGCCGTTCCATTTCAGCAAAAGACCTACACCTCAGTTACATTGCTTTTGATCTGCTATCGTGGTCATGATTCCCCTACACTGTGGTTTATGGCTTTCTATTTGTTTCAAATTCACAGTAATGTTACTTGGCAAGTCAAACTCATAATGGTTGTGAAAAGCCATTGATGTGAACACTAGTTTATTAAAAAGGCTTTGCTGTTTCGGAAATTTTGAGCATCACCTGTTTTTTTCCAATTTTATCTAATGTTTTGTAGCCTAAAAGAAACAGGAAGAATCAAAGTTGAAAGAACAGTATTACTGTTCACTAGAAGTAGTATGTTAACTTAGTCATCTGTGTAACTGTGAGACACTTGAAAAGAAAAGAAAAATAGAACTTTTTAATAATTATAAACCTAAATTTTTTAAATCTCCCATTTTGTTTTATTTTTCAGTATTTTTAAAACACTAATAGGGGATCATTTCAGATTTTATATGTTATTTGTCATCCTTTTGAGCTGAAAATTTTAATGCCTTGGGAAATTGTAACTTTGTCTTTTCTATGTATGACCAGTCAGAAGATTTTGAAATAATATTTTGTCTGTATGTGCAAAAAAATGCATCCTAATTGTATTTTAATCCAAGCAAAACATTGTATGCTGTTACTGTTACATAGTTGGCACAAGGAGCAATGTTTTTATCTAGTTAACATATTCATCAATAGAATCTTCTTCCCCCCCCCTCCTTTTTTTTTTTCCCTGTGTGGGGCACTGCACAGTGGAGTTCTAATCTGGGTTAGCTTGTACCTTGAATGCCTAATACCAAAACCCTGACACTAAAGTAAAAGGTCATTTTATATTCGAGCTGAAAACCTTCCACATTGGCTCTAAAGTACTAGGTAACCTTAAAATTCTTGCTAAAAACCTTCCAGGCTTGCAATTACATGTGAGACCTTTCGGTAAAATAGGTTTTCAAGTGTTTCGTTTATATAATATTCTACTTATTTAGTTACACCAATGGTGTTTATCTGTTCATGACATGGTCATGAGCTGACACTTTCACCGTTTCACGTTGACCAGGATCATTCCACGGGGCACTTATTTTCTGTCTCGGGATATCTGTCGGCATAATATCTTCTTTCATAGGAAATAAACGGGAGATGGACAAATTGAATGAGTTGTTGAAGCAGACAGAGAACTTGGTTCAAGATCTACAAGAAGAACTTGAGATCAAAGATTCATTAACAGTGAAAGAACTTGCCATTGAGGATTATGAATCAGCAGATACACATGACGATTATTACAACAGTAGTGCACAACGTGCATTTATACTTGAACAGAATTTGGATGAATCAACAAAAAAATATGATGGTAAAGAATCACATGATCAGAAGGCAGAGGAGCATTCTGAATCCATGAGTAAAATTGAAGCAGAACTTGAAGCTGAATTGGAGAGGTTGGAACTAACTATAAATTCATCTAGTTTGGAGGGAAGACTGGCTGATCTCCCAGAGGTAAGCATGCTTATATGCCATTGCATGCTAAAAACTTCTTGATGTAGTTTCATGCTGATGGTCTATCTTTATTACGTGGGAGTTTTTGTGTGACTTCTTTAGTACTTGGCTCTTTTTATGTCTATTCAATTGCATATTTTTACATTGTCCGAGAAAAAAATCATTTAATTAAGTACCGAGCATATCACTTGCACAGTTTCACATTTCTCCAGTTCGGTCATGTTTTTCTTTTTTTAGGTCTTCATATACAGTGATGGCTTTTTAAAAATCTATGTTCCTTGTATTTCATCTGCAGAATCTAATTGTTCTCCATATTATGATTACTTTGTGAATAAATTGTTCGTCTCCTTCATGACGTTGTATCTAGATACTATAATAATCCAAAAGATATTCTTTTAAAATTTCACAAAAAAAACAAATCAAAATCCTCAAGGACATTGGTCTTGTATGGTTTACATCATTTGTGTATTAGTGTGATAACAATATATATAATCTATTCAAAATTTATTACAATTTACATCTATTTAAAAATGTTGGTTTTAATTCTTCAATCAGGTCAAATTTGATATTAAATTGGGCCAGTTAATTCTCTAGTTGACTAACTGGTGCCCTTCTTAAGTGGATCGGATTTGTGTGGATGGTGAAGTGGCTTGCTGTAACAGGTGCTTGCCCATTTACCCAAAAGTTTAAGCTGTTAGGTAGTGCTGCATACCCACCAATTTATACACAATCACTCTCCCATCCGAATCCGATGTGGGACAAATCTCCCCTTGTAACATTCTCCCCCACCGAACTCGCAACGCCCTCGTTGCGGTCAGGCCACTCTGCCTACCCCGGTGGTTCACCCGGATGCCTTTTGGGCAGAGCTCTTGGCGTGGCACCGGATTAAGAATTGGTCTGGTTCTAATACCAACTGTAACGGGTGGGAGCTTGCCCATTTACCCAAAAGTTTAAACTGTTGGGTAATGCTGCATACTCACCCATTTATACACAATCACTCTCCCATCCGGATCCAATGTGGGACAAATCTCCCCCTGTAACATTCTCCCCCACCGAACTCATAACGCCCTCGTTGCGGTTGGGCCACCTTGCCTATTCCGGTGGCTCACCCGGACGCCTTCCGGACAAGGCGCTTGGCGTGGCACCGGATTAAGAACTGGTCTGGTTTTAATACTAACTGTAACGGGTGGGAGCTTGTCCATTTACCCAAAAATTTAAATTGTTGGGTAATGCTGCATACCCACCCATTTATATCCCAATTACTCTCCCATCCGGATCTGATGTGGGACAAATCTCCCCTTATAACACCTGCCTATGTATAAGTTCTTTGTAGCATTGTGGATATTTGATGTAATACATGTATTTTTCATGTTATATATAATTCTGTTGCTAGAACGCTTGTGTTTGCTTCCCATATGAAGGAATGGTAAATCACATAATTATCTAGTTACATAATCTAGTTTGACAAAACCTTTTTTTTTTTGTTAGAGATTATAAGTTTCGTTGTACCTTTAAAGATTGCAAGATCTCTGGTGATTTCTTTCGATGATTTTAGAAAAGTAGAGGATAAAAGTTTTATCGTCTAGCACCAATTTTTTTTATTTATTATCATTTAGATCATTTTTCTTCTAGATGAAAAGATAGAAACTAAAGAAGGAAAATCTTTCTTAATGAAAGTATTTTCCTATGAATTGTTATCTTCGCTTCCTTTTGGATCTTAGCGACTACAGAATTTGAAGGGTGTTTCATCATTTGGACTTTATCAGTTTATTGTGACAGACTGAGCTTCAATTGTTTCCTCCTAAATTACCAAGGCAATCATATTTTTATTTTTTTCTTGGCCATAGGGAATAGGCAATGCAATTGAAGCGGGGATTTGGTGTTGCATAGAAGTGTTTAGACAGTCTCATCCATGAATCATCATTATTTTGTGGAGGTTGAATTCTAGGTGGCCTTGCAATGTGACATTGCAGAAGAATAAATTTTTTTTTTTCCTTTCTTGTTTGGTCATTCAAAACAAAATAATTAATAATTCTATTTAAATCAGGAAAAAAAACTTTGAGGAAGATCATTTTTTTCTTTTCTTTTTTTCCCTTCCTTTCCATTTCCCCATTAAATATGTGAACCAAATATAGAATTAAGAGGCAACTAGAGTTCTTGTCTATATGCAGTCTGCTTATTTATGCACATTTTGCAATGCTTTTACAATATTATTTTGCCTTGTGGAGAGAGAGAACTCATCCTTCTTTGACTCCTGCGTTTCTATTTTTGAATAAAACTGCCCTTCTTATTGATAATTCATCCCTCACTTATTGCTATAGTCCCCTTCCCTGTAGTATGTTTTTGTTGATCTATCCCAACTCATATTATCCATTAACTTTTGTGATGCATGACAAATATTTCATCGGGCAACTCTTATAAACGTGTTTATATATACATATACATATATGCACATGGCAATTGGTTGTATATAGTTAGAATGGATTTTTCATCTGTATGAAATTTCCATATGAAATTGTTTGTTATCTGAGATTTAATGGAGCTTAAACTCTGCAGCTTGACGGCAACTTTATACCAGACATTGTTCGCGGCGAATTAAAAGCAGACATATTTGATAGACAAGCTAATGCCCAACCTTATGCTGACCAAGATGGAAGCAGCACCTCCACAACTCACTCTGCTAACTATGCAGTTTCTCCCCGAGAACTGAGCTTACGTTTACATGAAGTCATTCAATCAAGACTAGAAGAACGTGTCAAGGAGCTTGAGACAGCACTTTTGGACAGCCAGAGGAAGGTTAAATTCCTGGAGTCAGAGTGTATGAATTCCCGGTGGGGATTCTCAAATGGCGAAATGGGATCTTCCTCTATCCAGGGTAGTCCAAATGCTACAGAACAACAAAACCTTGCAGGTGAGCCTGTGGTTATCAATCTATCAGGGGAAGCTCTCGATGCATACAACAATGCTTATGATGAATTCATGAACATAAATGAGTCGGAAGAAGATGATTTACCATCGGCAGGTGACAAAAATAACCATCAAGAGGATTCAGATCCATTTGAGAGAAATCTACAGTGGGATCTCAATGGTGAAGCTAGCCATTACACACCACACCATATGATGACTAATGGTTATGAAGGGAGGGAGGCAAGAACATTGTTAGAGCACATTTCATCAGACGATATTTGTGCATTTGGAGATGATGACAATGTTTATGATGAGATGGAAGAGCTGCTGATCAAGAAGATTGTGGAGAAAGCCAGGAAAGGTTCGCCCGTAGTTTTAAATGCTCAAAGGGTGTTGTTTTCCGTGGATGAAAATGAGCATTTGAGATGAAACACAAAAGGTTTTTGCAGTATATAGAGTTAAAGAGAAGTGTTCTCATAGATGTTGATGCACAGATTTTTTTTTTTCTTTTCTTTTTCCTTTGTCAACTATTTTGTACCCCAAATTGAAAAACCGAACTCATTAAATTCTTCTAGTTACTTGGGAACTAGGAAATTGTTGCAATCCCAAGTGTATCTGCAACAAAAATCAATGACAATTTTCCTTTTCTTTTGCAGAGATCAATGGAATTTCGATCTTTATAAGAGTGGGTGACTGAATTTATTTCAAAAAAATTGTTCTTATTTATCACTTGAACTATTTGCGCATTTATGATTGGACCACATCAACACTTGGACTATTTGTGCATTTATGATTAAACCACATCATCAGACTTCTTGCCCCTTTTTCTATATCAGCCAAACTCCCCTGTAAGCTGAAAGTGTGAAACGTGACAAAGAGGACATTCGCCTTTAAGTTAGGCATATCTCAAAATTTTAACTAAATATAAATCAAAACATTAAAACATTATAGTTGCACTTGAAATGAATGTTTTATCTTCTGTTTTCATTTTTTTTAAAAATATTTTCAGTAACATTACTGGCCTTTTCCATTAGAAGTAATAAATGGATTTTAAAGGAGTTCCCAACAATTGTTGGTACGTAGCATTCCTCATGAGTTTAAAGTAAAGAGGCATAGAATATGGCATTTAAATTCTATTTTTTAATGGCAACAGTTTTGGCTCAAGCTTCTTCATCTTGCCAGTAACTCTTCTAACACTGGAAAAGTTGAAGATTGGTTTTTCTAGATGTGGGATCTGCAGCCGCAGCGGACAAACCTGTAGCTAACTTATTCGAATTTGAGGAGATATCAATCCTGTTACCATCTGGTAGAATGGTAAAAGAGAGAGATTGGATGAAACACCCAACTAAATCATTGTTCATTCAATAAAGGAAAAGTAAGAGAGACGAGTTCAATAAAGTTCAAAACAGATTAGTTCAATAAAGTTCAAAACCCTCACTTAAACAAACTGATTTATATCCTTACAAGACATATATAATAGTAAAATAATATCACCAATCCTTGCCCACCCTTTCCTCCTCCGAACACCACAAAAAAAGACGACAAAAATATTTCTTAGAAATGCTTATTCAATTTTCCTCCACTCCTGCTAACCAAAGCATGGAGTGGCATTGCCTTGGAGCACAACATATAATTTGATATCTGTAGGCAGTGTGTTGTGCACTTGCAGATAAAGAGAGGGAGCATTGAAAAAGTACCGGCAAAAGATACACTTAGGCTATGTTTGGTAGGATGGGTTTGAAGGGGGAGGATAACATTAGTTATAAGGGAAAGGGAAGGAAAGGGAAGGGAAGGATAAGTTTAATCCTCAATCGTGTTTGGTTGATTAATGAAGGAAAAGAAAGGGAAGGATAACAATCATGTTTGGGAAAAGAAAGGAAAGGGAAGGATAATAAAAAATTTACTATTATGCCCTTTATATATTTTAACAGATAAATTTTTAAATTTAAATATGCAACAATATTTTTGCCCCAAGATTCGGTTCTAAGGCTCAGTTTGGTAGCAAATGCCACATTTATCTTCTCTTTCCAAATCAATATTTCAAAACTCAACAGCACTTAACTAATTTATGCAGTGGTATTGAGGCTAAGCAGCCCAACTCTGCCATGAGAAAATCTGCTCGTGTGTAGCTGATTAAGAATGGGAAGAAGATCGCTGCATTTGTACCCAATGATGGTTGCTTAAACTATATCGAGGAGAATGTAAAAGTCTTCGACAAAACTAGTGTAGATCTTCTTTAATTGCTTGCTTTGTGTTGTAAGACACAAAGCAAGCTAAATCTTATAAAAGGAGCCGGCTCAAGTAAAAGTGGAGGAGGCTCCAATATGAATGGAGCAGGCTCTAATATGAGTAGAGCAGGCTCCCAAAATGGGAGGCGGCTCATTTCAAGAAAAATTGTTCTGGGAATCAATTTTATGTCATGTTAGGTGGCAGAAGTAAAACAAAGAAAAAGAAATGCAATTTACCCAAAAATAAAAAATAAATAAATAAAATGTAACTCACTTTTATTCCTAAAATGAAGTTGAAATAACATTCATACTCAAGAGCACAAATGAATTTCCTATTAAAAGTTTGATTTCCTTCAACAAAAAAGATGATAAAATCAACAAAACAATAATAAAGTCAATGAAATAATCATATTGGTAAGTACTGAAACAATCAACAGATCGCATAGAAAACCCAATTACTAGATCTTCCCTCAAGCTAGTAACAACAGAGAAAAGTAAAAAAATGATCATTAATTTAATCTTTAAATTTGGCTTCTTACTTTTTTGGGTGAGAGGGGTTTGATCACAAATGTAATCAATGATGATCAACAACATAAAACAGTAAGTTAGGTTCTTTCTGACTTTATTTAAAAAAAAAAAAAAAAACTTAACAACCCAAGGCATGAAGTGGATCGAACATACAGATCCACCAATTTCTTGCAAATAATGACCCCAAATTAGGAAGTGCCGAGATATAATGGGAATAGGACACTTGAAGGGAGCCGGCTCAACCATGATCATGGAGCCGGCTCTTATGGGTTTTTGAGAGGTGCCAAGTGGAGCCGGCTCTTCCTTTTTGTAGAGCCGGCTCCACATTTTTTTTGGAGCCGCCTCAAGTAATTGCTGGAGCCGGCTCTCTTGGGCATTTGAGAAATCCCGAGAGTTGGTGTATGCAGGCCAATAATACAGGCCCTAATATGAAGAGCAAATTTGAGGGTAAAATTGGCTTAACAAATATTTTGTATGCCATTGCCTGCCATTGCCTTCCTTTTCCTTCCTTATCCTCCCAATTTTGGAAGGTTAAAAAATTACTGTACGTTGCTTATAAATAACCCTCCAAACCCCTCCCTTTCCTTCCCTTTCCCTCTACTAACTTTACCCAAACACAATTTTTTTATTACCCTCCATCCCCTTCCCTTCCCTTTCCCTTCAAACCCATCCAACCAAACTGACCCTTAAGATTGAGACAACTTTGTAACTTTACTTCAAAAATACCAACTAAAAACGCATCAAAGTTAGGTTCCAAAACCAAATCCACCATTTTATGAAATAAAGAAGTTGGCAGTAAGAATCCAGAGAGGGTGAGTGCGCTAAAGCAACAGACAAGATAAATAAGAACAATTTACTTATAATAATACGCAGAAAAGGAAGAAAAGTCAGAGTACTTGTTCTCCTTTTCTTTTCATTTTACCAACGGATGCAAGCAAGTTTTTCTCCATTAACTCAGGCTTCTCCATTAACTTTCAGACCTGTCTGTTGGCATAGCCATCAGGCTCATCAGCCCCTTCCAATGGATCGTCTGGGCCAAAACCGCCACCAGCATCAGCCTTGTTGCCACTTTCAGCATTGGCATAACTATCAGTGCTAGCGCCACCACCAAACCCCTGGCTGCCACCAATATTACCACTACCGGCATAACCATCAGTGCTAGCGCCACCACCAAACCCCTGGCTACCACCATAATTACCACCACCGGTAAAACTATCGGTGCTGCCGCCACCACCAGAAACACCATAGCCCTGGTTGTCACCACTTCCAGCAACACCATAGCCCTGGTTGCCACCATAATCACCACTACCGCTGCCGTAACTGTTTCCACCAGCATAACCACTGGTATTACCGCCCCCACTTCCGTAGCTATTGCCATAACCACCACTGCTTCCATAATTTCCATAACCACCGCCACCACCTCCATAACCACCGCCACCACTGCCTCCATAGCCGCCGCCGCCACCATAGCCGCCATCACCATAGCCGCCGCCACCACCATAGTTAGTACGTGGCGGTCTTTCATTTGCATAATTCACTCTTATCGTACGGCTATGAAGTTCCTGGGAGAGAAAAAAGAATCAATTATCGGAATTATCGGATTTCCCAGCTTATATAGCACAACAACCTATATAAGGAAAAAAGTTTAACATGTCAATATCTTGAACCAAAGAAAGCTACTATATGCATACCCAGAGCAAACTGTCTAAAGCAATCTCCGACCTAAGGAATTATTTATACTAATCTCTGGAACCAAAGGTAAAAAATTATTTCTCAGATAAGATAATTACAGGTGGCATCATCCTATGTTAAATTCAGACTCACCACGTCGGACCCAGGTACATGTCCTAAGGGGTTTATTATTTCTCTAGAAGATGCATACCCAGGGCAAACCGTGTAAAGACCTAAGGTGTTATTTATACTAATATCTGTAACCAAATCTCTAATATAAGGTAAAAATTATTTCTCAGATAAAATAATTACAGGTGGCATCATCCTGTGTTAAGTGCAGACTCACCACATCAGACCGAGGTATATGTCAAGGTATATAAGATTAGTATCTTTACATGACTCTTCTACTGTGATAGTTGGGGATATACATATCACCTAAATGCGGTGTTGTGCCACCAGCCCAAAATTGGTAATAAGGGTGGAGTGGAGGTGTAACATGTCTATAAACAAGTTGATATTAATTCCACAGCACATCCAGTCAGGAATAGCACATGTAAATTCAATAATTCAGTTGATATAAATTCCACTCCAGTCAGGAATAGCACATGTAATGTCAATACTTCTGCAAGAAATTTTGCAACCACCATCAATTTTCTCTATTTCATTTACTAAAGAATTTCCATTGGTCACATATCATTTTATACCACCAGCAACAGCTAGCAAGCTGTCATTCAATTCAAAGTATATTTGCCAAAAATGGAACAGCAAAAGTACCTGCCCGTCCATGGCCTGGATAGCACTGGAGGCTTCCTCGCTATTGGTGAAAGAAACGAAGCCAAAACCTCTCGACCTACCTGACTCACGATCCATAATAACTCTTGCTGCAAGTAATATCAAGCTTATCAACAATAGTAGCAGAAACTCTCAGGATAAAGAACTTGCCCCCCAAAAGAACAAATTTTCAATGCTAGTTTTTTTTTTAGCTAAAGGGGAAGTATTTTCAATTCTGGAATATAGTTCATTGGGGCATCCTGATCTAGTTTCAACACTTAGAGGAGAAAGCCAAATGATAGAGCCCGTGCTAAGAAGGTCCAATAATACAAATTACAACCCAAAAGAAAAGATGTGCAAATGCTGGCATTCACAGTCTGTCTAAAGCCCATGGAGCTAAGACTTAAAAACATAATGCATCCATCAGAAAGAACTGAATGGGGGGGCACAATAAAGCACTCCTTTTTATACACGGATGCTATACCCTTTCGAATTCTTTATTTTGTATTCAGTATCTCATGGACACAACACCAGAATTCAAGTATATACAGACAACCAACATACTTGGTCTTGATCCAATGTGACATATACATGTATGCTATGCTATGCAACTATATTTCAAGTTCAAACCCTTATTCATGGTTGCTAGCACTTTTTAAACTTACGACGTAATTTTCGCATACTGAATTACAGAAACTCAAACATGTTTCCATTTTTTATTCCTTTTGCCTGATAACCAACACTCTTCTAAATTTAGATTACTTACCTTCAACGACTTCCCCATACTTACTAAAAGCTTCTCTCAGACTTGTATCATCCGTGTTATATGAGATTCCTGAAACATCCAAAGTCAAATTATCACATCACTAAAAAAAGAGAAGGGGTGATCATAGTCACTACTTTAGGGATCAGGATGCACCTCCAACAAAGACTTTCGAAGTTGACATGCATCTTATCATTTGGAAGATAGATGGATTGGATGCAGAAATATCTGAATTCAAGTGCTTACTGACAGTCTGCCCGAGGATACTCCTGGCTTTACTAAAGAAAGCCATTGTTGAAACCTAAATATAGAAGAAGAAATGACGTCTCCATCATTACATTCGCAAGGACATGAGTTCCATTGAGAGGGCAAAACTAAAAAAATCTCTTTCTATGGTTGACCATGGCAGATACCAAGAGATGAGAAACTAAAAATTCACGAAACATTTTGGCATAAGTCTCATAAACTAGTTAGAACCAAATTGTTAATCACATTCACTCCCATTAAATATTTGCCACCTTGCTGCTTTCTAAACTATAATTAATTAATAGTTGTAGTATAAAAAAAATCAAACTTGGAGAAGAACATTTCACAGCAGAAATATTTGAAAAGATTAATAAACCCCACCCCACTCCACCTGCCAGCACCGGTGGAAGTATAATTCCTGGAACATTTAAAAAAAATAACAAACAAAAGCAGGCATTGACACAAAAGGTATAAACACATAGCTTAGATAATTCCCCAGTATAGAATGAATTAAAAATTTCGCATACATGATACAACTAAGTTACTAACACACTAAAACATATTAAGCTTTGATTTGCATCAAGTTGGGAATTAAATTCTCAAATTCAATATCATGTAGATTTTAATTATGAAGTTACTGCATACATAATATAAGAGTTATTCACAAAACCACATAGTTTTCTGAATGTTGATTCTTAGTTCTTAATAGTTCCTACATGTGATTCTATGCCAGTAAAATTTGGAGAAACAAGCTTTGAGCTATTAGAATATTTTTTAAATTGCCTCTCTACGCATTCAAAATCCAAGCTGAAAACTTCCCTTGATATTAGATTTGTGCATCATCTAAAAGATCAATCAATAAAACAATTCATAATTTCAACCAGCTCATGCAACTAAAAATCAGCTGTAAACTAATAGTGAACTCAGGATGTTTTCCTGCAGACGGTTGAATGCTATTTGCCAAAAATAAATGAAACTCTCAAGATATTAGAATATACAAAAAAATAAGCTTTCACAAAAGTTCATACTTGACACACAAAGCTTCCAAACTACCCTATCTAGAATGTGTCTTAAAAATATTAAGTGTAAACAATGCTGCTTTAGTCAATCTAAGTGCTAAGACTGCTACTTACTCAGAAAATAAAGCCGGCTTCACTCACACAAGTTGACAGCACACAAACTCAACATTTCACGCTTACCATCACAAAGGGATGACGAAAGTATTGATGTTTTAGCTTCCAGTTAATCAACTTTTCAGATCCCAATTAGAATGCAGCAATATGAAACATATATCATATACCATACCAATGTAGTTTTTCCAACGAGGTGATTTTACACATTCAGAGGAGTCTATTTAACACAGTAAATTAGATTCCTATTCAAGCCAGAAGGACCACTAGAAAATTTGAACAGTTTTTAAGTGTTGTAATATAGTATTATTTCAGTCCATGAAGGGTATAGACTGTAGAATGCACAGATTGTATTTCCAACAACTCTAGCCACTCAAATAAAGACACTGGAAGAATTTTTCATAAAAAAAAATTACCTGCCAACTCAATCATAGGGCACAAACTCAAACAGCAAGTCAACTTAAAAGTTCAAAACAATTCCTCGATGTCCATGTGCAACATAAGACATCCACAAATTATGTTTATAAAGCAAATAAAGAAATTTGCATCTTTCATACTCCACAGATTGTTTAAAATAGCACCAGATACTCCACAAATTAGGTTATATCTAAGAACATCTGACAATCGATTCTGGTTCTACAATAATTTCATAATTATCACTATAATTCTTCAAAAAGCCCAACCAAAAAGCCCAACCAGTGTCCGAAAACCCATCAAATATATTTCCTTTTATTGATTTCAAAATTTTGAAAAACCAAAACAACCCCTCTTAGAAATTCCGGTTCATTCTCAGTGACAGTGGGACAAGTAGAGAGCAAATGCAAAGAAAATGTAGAAAAATAAAATAAATTCAATTCTAAAACCTAAATAATCATTGTTAAATGCTATTAATGGGATAAAACAATAAATAAGTGGCTAGTTCAGTGGTTGTATTTTTTTGCACTTAGAAATATGCATTCAGCATTTATATTTCGTATTTCCATTTTATTTTCTAACTTCCACACAAAAGTAAGTTCCTAGACATTCTTGTTTTCCCTCACACTATTACAAACCAAAAAACTTCTTAGGAAGTGGGCCCAAAATTTTCATTTTCCACCACATTCCTCCTCATGATAGAAGGCAGACACACACATTCAAAGTAGACATTTGCAGCATCCAAGGTTCTGTTTGGTAATATTTCCAATAATTAATCTCCCTTAAAACATATAAATACACACATAAGATATTGATAAGTGGTTTTATCTTTTTGGGTAAGATGTATAAGCCCTCAACAGTCAAGAGATACATAAGTAACCCATGAAATGCAAACAAAACAGAGCGTAAATAGCTTGAAAAAGAAAAACCAGTTTGTTAATGAAAGAAAATCTCAATCCAGAACAGCAGATCAAGCTCCAGCCACAAAAACCGATCAACAAGAAATAGATCATAAATCAACATACAAATCGATAAAAAACAACAATCAGAAAACATTCCGATGGAACCCTAACTATAGAAAACCAAACCCAACCCTACAAAACAATAGTAAGAACCAAGGAAATGAACAAACATTTCAATATATTGACTAGGAAATGAACAAACATATCAATATACATATACAAATATACACAAACGAGCAAAAATAGACCCGAAGACCTGTCGATTGCTGGTAAAATCTAAGGATTAGGGTTTGTGGAGTACCAAGACGGCGAGTATCTGTATTGTTGCTGAGACTTAAACCCTAGAAGGTTTTGTGAACGAGGTGGGTTTACGAAAGTGACATTTGGAAATGATATAAAGGGTGTTCAAACGGACGTACACCGTTGGATCTTGTTTGGACTGTGTGGACCGTTGGATTAGAGTTTCCTATAGCGAACACATTGCGTGGATACTATTAAGGATTGAGCTTGACTTGGGAGCTGATATTTTTATTAGAGGAGAGAGAGAGAAGAAGAATCGAGAAAACGTAATTCTTTAAAATAAATTCTTTAAATAATTCAAGTGTTTGAAAACTACCACTATTTTCTCCTCCACAACAAAATTTAAGAACCTATATATCTCTCACACTCTTTTATTTTATTTTCTTTCTACAAACTAAAAAAATAAGTCATATTTTCTTTTTATATTTTTGAGAGGCGGATAAAAAATATATAGATATCAAAATATCATAATAAGTAAATAACTAAGTTGACATTAATTAATATTTAAATTAAAAACTGATCATACTTGTATTTTAATTAATTTTTACGTAATTACTTCCATTTTGGTTATTAACAAATTAACATATTAGAAATAAAAAAAAATAGAATAAATAAAGAAAATTTTAGTGGGCAATACATAAAATGTTTTATCAAAAATTTAGTAAGATGTTATTTTAATTTTTGCAATATTTTAGATACGTAATATAAATAAAAAGAATGTCAGTAAGTCCGTCCGGAGGGATGGCCCCTCACACATTTTCTATTATTTCTATTTGTGGTCTACAAGTTTAAATATTTTACTTTTTTTGCATTACTCCATTCTATTTCAATTATGTAATACACACACAACAATAAGTTATATTTGTGGTATTGATTGATATGTGGTTACAACATCTCCAATGGGTTCTCTTAATTTAGACTCTTCAAATTTGTCATCACCATTTTTTAATAGTCACTTTAACATTTTTCATAGCCACAGATATACTTCAATGGTGCATTTTCGCTCTCCAAAATTATTAATATTTTAATATTTTTAAATTTTTTAATAAAATTAATTTTTTAACTTTTTCCTAACGGCTATATTTTTAAAACGGCTATATCATAGTAGGGTTTCATTTATTTATAGAGGAAAAATAAAAGAGTTTTTTTTAAAAGATAAATATATATATATATATATATATATATATATATATATAATTATTTTTTAAAAAATTATTCAAAATATTAGTTTTTGTGCCAATATAGCCGTTAAGGCACTGTTTGGGTTAGCCAAACAGTGCCTAAAACGACTATATGTCAATATTTTAAAAAGTAATTTTTTTTTTGCCCAAAAAAACCTTTAAGGCACTATTTGTATCAGCCAAACAGTACTTTAACGGTTCTTTGGTTCAATTATTTTGAGGGGAAAAAAAAAGAGACAAAAGAAGCCAGAAATCTGTTTTTTTTTTTTTTTTTTTTCAGGCAAACATTCACTTAGGAACAGTGTTATGGGCTAAAACACTGTTCTACCCAGAATAAAAAAATATAAACAAAACTGATCCGAGCCCGCATGGCAGGCCCACGGCTCGCTAAGAGGGTCATGATTTTTAGCGACCTATTGGGTTGGGCCCAATTTTTGGCGATGCTATTGGAGGAGTCCAATAGCCAAATTCGGCTCAAAATCGCTTGATTTGAGACCATTGGACCTACTCTTATTTAACAATTACTGCATGTCATTTCAGATATCTACATTTTCCTTGCTTCTAACAAAATTTTGACTAGAACTCTTTTATCCCTTAGAACATTAAAATGGTGATTGAAAAGAAAAATTAAGATGCCATTACTTGGGACAATGATAAAAAGATCGGATTGTCAAATGTGAGAACCTATGTTCTAGTCTCACACATCCATTCTGTGCATTGAAAATGATATAAAATATTTTAATTTGTCACTAAAAGGGTGGAAAATTCCCGATGTATGCATTTCTCCTCTCTTTCAATGGGGAGAGGCTTAATATGCTATTCTATTTGGAGAAAAATCATACAATGTGAAAACCCAATGGGTAGGATCATTTTTGGCTCATATCAAGTCAAAGCATAATCTTCGATTATTTAACTTAGGAAAATTTTAATCAATATTGAGCCTCATTCCACAATATTGACTCCAACTTTTTCTTTGGCTTCTTGTTAGTCAATAACAAAGAATCACAGAGCATGATTTTTCCAATTAGAAAATGTGGACTTGAATTTTTTTCTTCCCTTATATTTTCTCTTCAATTAGTCCCTGCAAATGCACACTTGAGACCACACTAATTCCACAGCTCCCAAACTGAAGATATTGGCAACCTGATAGTTGCTACTGCTTGTTTTCACATTTATTGGTGCCAGTAAGGTTACTCTATTCTGACCAGGAGGTCACGGTTCAAATCAGGAAATAATCTCTCCGCATCCGGAGATAAGATTGCATAGATCAAACCTTACCAAATGTCACAGTGTCGGGAGCCTGTACTGGTTAACCCTCCTCGTGTACTGGTTAACCCTTCTTATTATGTCTAAGATAATAAAACACATGGTGGAAAAGGCATGTACGGTAGGCAAAACAATGATATGGCAGAACTTATATATTTGTGCCCATAATACAAATTGATATTATTACATGAGAAAAAGGTACAAAGGAACAATGCTGCAGCAATTTTCTTGAGAAATTTAGACTGCAGTCAAGTGATATAATACAAGCACATTTTGTAAATTACAATCATGAAACTACCAGGGGAAAGGAGACCATGAGGGCAGAAGGAATTCTAAAGCTCCAAAGCATTCTGATTTTTACTTCCTGGAATTGTGCAGTGACCTTTGAGAACCTTCAAACAGATCCAAGATATAGTTCTCCAAATTATGTTCAGTGTACTTAATGTACTTGTCCTCGATACAAATGGAGTATCTACCCATAAAAGTCCTGTATGCATGGATTACTTTCTGTGAAGTTGAGATTTGTACATCCTCCCTAAGCTGAACATCTGGGATAATCCATCCTGTCTGACTTTTGTATACCTCCTCAAAGGCAACATTGAAGCGCCTGCACCTCTCCCTAAGAACCGACTTCCCTAGCTTTCCGTCGTCCCTAAGCAATGACAAGACTGAACTCCAAGTGGCTCTCTCATAGCTTCTCGCGTGCTGCTGGAACTTCACGATATACTTTTTGATCCATTCATCCCCAAAATATGTCCCGAGTTCGGGGTCCTTAACTTTTTCCACCATGTAATGGATGTTATTCATCATAAAAATGTGCTTCAATGAACAATCCCTGTATAATCTGGATTTTTTGTCAAGGTTTGTTTCGAGAATGGATGCCACTGACCATAGGTAGCGTGCCATTGGACGAAAATGGTAGGAACAGGCACTCTGCCCATCCTCGGCATCAACTACTGTACCTAACTCCTCCCCATCTTGCCTCTCAAGAAGCAAATTGAGGGTGTCACCATATCCTGCAAGGGTCTTGATGTAGTTCATGACATACTTGGTGAGAGGGTGAATGCCACCTCTGGGGAAGGGGGTATTTGATGTCTCCGAGGCAACTTCATTCCCGAATTTCTTAAATGTGACCCTAGCAGAATTGCCTAATCTCATCAAGAGCTCGTGGAACTCGATCCGAATAAAAGAACCAAATTCTTCTGAGAATAGAGCATCTATATCTTGGAGAAGATTTGCTAGAACCTCGTACATGTCGATTAAGCAAAAAAGAATTTCTGGTGAATGGGGCCCCATTGCAATGGCTTCGCCAAAATTCAGGAGGCACAACATTGAAGTCTTTGAAGCCTCAACAAAACAGATTGAACAAATAGATCCAAATTCTCCCAAGACTTGATCAAAGAGCCATTTCTCACTGCAAAGATAAAACCGAATGACAGCCTTCATTGCCCGGCACCATTTTCTGATCCTGCAGTACAAGCTATCCCACTTCATTTTCAACACATCTTCAATGCTGAGTTTGTCCACCTCACAATTGATCAAAAACTCATTCAATGCAATTTCCCAGAAGCTAGTGAAAGCCTGGCAAAATTCCTGATCATAATTTGAAGCAAACATTACAGTTGCAATAGACTTTATATCGGAAACTACATTCGGATGGACCAAACTTATGATACATTCCTCGGATTCAGTGCTATTGCTCTCTCTCCGAGATTTGCCCCCCATTGAATCGTCCTCATTTGAAACTATCGATTCTTCACACACGACACTCCCTTCATAAGACTGAAAGGAAATGTATCTGGGCCCCAAAAATTGCTTACTATGAGCAAGAATGTGGATCAACTCTTTCTCAAGCCTGGCCATTGCCATCTGCAGAACACTGTGAGCTCGGTCAAGGAGCTCCTTCTGTTTCCCATTATTGTTTGACAGCAAGCTTCCTAAACTCTCTGTCAACCTTCGAACTTCATCAACAGCTTGTAGATACCTCGAAACTTCCTGAGGACCAGAATCCCATATCATCAACTGATTCGACTGCCAACTCATGACCCTTTGCTGAGCACAAATGAGCTGATCTTCAACCTCATTAGTCAACCCTGCCTTACTCTCAGTGAGTATGGTCATTGTAGACAAATGGGTGTCAAGGTCTGCTAGGATTTTCCTCATATCATCACTCAGATTCTTATTCGTCCACAACGCCTTCACGATGTGCTGAGCAGCAAGAATCACATGCTGTTCACCATCATGGGTTGGTATTACAGCTTCACAATCCCCCATTGTAAATGATAAAGCAGAAAGAATCACCAATACCAACCTCAACCTCAGATGACCCCTCAGAATTGCAAACTAAAACACTCCTGTTTGTGTTGAATAACAACAAAATCACTTCTTTTCAAAACCTATTGGGTATAATTCTCCAAACAAAGCTTGCACATGGACATGTGTTGATAAGGACAATACAGGGAATACAAATGGTACTGGAAAAACTTCTCTGAACCCTAATCTCAAAACCTAATTCAAACCCTAACCCCAAATCCCAATTGAGATGTTACAGGGAAAAGGAACCCGAGGCCGGAAGGGTTTCACTTGGTGGAGGCAGAAAAGTATCAAAACTTACCAATCTCAACTACTGACTTGGAATGATAGGAAGTAAGAACAGCAAGTTATACAAATAATCTGCAAATTTGAAAATCTATAATTGACAAATTGAAGATTAGGCCACCAAATTGAGCAAACTCATATTATTTACAAAGCCTCAAGGTTTCTTTCTCCTAAACCCTTTCATGTTCTTTGATAAACAATGATCAGTGGTAATCATGAAAAAATATGAATCTAAAACATAAAACCCAATACAATTAAACAATGAACTTGATCAAAACACAAGAACCAAGATAAACAATACTCAAAAAACAAACACAGAAATCAAACCAAACAACACAAACCCAATCTCTCTCTCTCTCTCTCTCTCTCTCCCACAAAACTGACTTTATAAAATTGCTAAAATATACAAGAAACAGAAAATAGGAATATGGTAGATTATATAACAATTAAAGACAACAAATTCATGAAAAAGTTGACAGACAAAGAACTAACTTAAACCTTGAGTGAGTTTACTTGGTTTCTGGAAATTGATGATAACACATGCAAAAATTGTGAAATATGAAGTGGGTTGATTTGGGCATGGTAAGAACAAGAAGCAATATTGAAGGGGAAATTAAATTACTCGTTCTTCAAGGCAGAGAATTGTCTGAAGAAAGAAAAAAGAGGAACCAGAAAGTGTGAGAAAATCTTGGGTTTTCTTGGAAACTAGAGAGAGAAAGTAGAATTGAAAGAAAAGCAAAATTAGATTGTAGAATAGAAAATGAGAGTGAAGCTTCGTGAGGTTAGAAAATTTCTAAGTTCGTTTTCCTTTTATTTTTTAATGTGAAAAGCCTCTCTGCAACTTCTGTGTTGAGCATACTCTATATCTATCAATCCGGCTTGACTTTTGACTCTTGGTGGTAACACTGTTGGGACCATCAAAGCTCATGTGACCTGACCAATGAACATGACCGATCAATCTGTATCTATAATTCTATATACTGCATCAACGCAATTTTTACTGGTCACTCTGCTAATTTTGTTGAATTTGTTCTGTTCAGTCACATTGGAAGAATGCAAAAATTTTAACCAAATTAGGGGATTAAAAATTAAAAAAAAAAAAAAAAAATGGCATCCTTTGACTTTACATAAGAAATACTTCAACGATATTATTTTTTATTCTGTTTGTTAGTTGAATTGTAGATCATTCTTATAAAAAAATTACATTTTTAAATGAAAAATAAGAAATGAAACTCTCACACGTCACCAAATTTGATTCAGAAATTAGCTTTTATTACAAATAGAAACTAAGTTTAGAAAAAACCTACCTAGACACCAATAAAAAATTGTGAAAGTTTACTATTACAGTAGTAAAATGTTGTTGTAGTGGCGAAATTATTTTTAATAAATATGGTGAAGTACACAGGGGTACATTGGGAAAAACAATCCGGAAAGCATTTTGATTTCTGATGAACCTCCTCAAAGACGGGTTGAATTCAAGGAATACCCTAAAGATCATAATGGGTCAAGTCAAAGATTATACCTGCGACTTTACTCTTTTATGAAAAATCATAATTTGATTATGTTTGACTTATGTGGCATTCAAGAGAAAAATAAATAAATAAATAAATAAAAAATTTGTTGTTTTGACAACTGATTATTATTATTTTTTGACAAAATACACACAAAAAAAGTCTAACATTTTAGATATAAATGCGTGTGGTACTCCTATTCGATATGAATAATGATAGAGAGATTGATAAATTAACCCTGAATAAGTACCGAATCTGACGTATTTTTGTCCACTTCATTTTTCTAAAAAATAATTATCTAATGCGTGATAAGAATAGTTAACTACGTCAAGTTCAATATTAATTTGAAGATTTTTTTTCAGTTCCCTAATATATATAGTCATAAAAATTCTCAATTTATTTTTTATGCACTATAAATAAATAATTTTAATAAAAAAAAATACGACTAACGACTAGGCATTAGATGAAAATATCACATATAAAATACTCGGAAAATATGATAAACTTTCTCTAACCATACATACACGGTGAGTAGGTTGACCATACAACTAACTACTTTGATTTAACTGCCAAAACATACAACTAACCACTTCATTGATGAAAAATGGTTGATTGCAATACTTAATTCATTTAATAGGCCAGTGCACAAATTGACAGGTCTCATTAATTTATAAAATAGTAAGATGATGATAAACTAATTGTGCTCTACAATATAAAGCAAAATTTTGGTTGGTGCTCTTAAGTTGAAGTCGGAAGATTATATGATTTTGGATTTTTTTTTTTTTTCAGGGAACCATTATGATATTGGAATTCCTAGGACCTTACCATTGTTGGTTATATTATATTGGGTAAAAGGCAATAAACCCCCCTGAATTATTAGAGTATTTCACAAAACCCCCCTATATTAACAATTGCCCCCTCAACTATTAAAAATGTGCAATTTAAGGACAATAGTCTAACAGCAGTTGACAGAAAAATTAATTGACCATTTTGCCCTTACAATAGACTGGTATGTCATTTTGTTGTTTTTTAACCTTCATCTGCTAATCCCTCTTGCCAACATTGACAGCACATCAAGTTTTATCACATATTACTGTTATGTGTGCTTTTTGCTAAAATTTGCGCCAAACAATCCCCATGTCTTTGATCATTGAAACCCTAAATTTGTTGCTCTGACCAGTGACCATTGAAACCCTAAATTTGCCAAAATCAAATAGTCATAAGCAACCAAATGCACAACAAGAAAAACAATTTAAAAAAAAAAAAACCAGTAACAGGGCAAATTTATACCGAAAGCCAGCAACTAAAAATATCCCAAACATCATAGTGTTATCTCTCCTTCGATACAATCTCTGGCTATGAATCGCAATCATTAACAACCCAATCACAAAACCCCAAACTCTAGCCGCAATATCCAATTACAAAAGTTGCCAACCCAATCACAAAACCCAAGAATATGTTGTCAATCATCAAGTAATCCCAATCGCAAAATCTAAAAAATATGTTGTCGTCGATCAACAAGCAAACCAATCGCAAAACCCCAAGAGTGATCACCAGGCAAACCCAATCGCGATCGTAAAATTCTCAACCCATCATCGCCAAACCCATATAAGAGAACTTTCACTGAAACCACTGCCGCTGCAACAGGCACATTGGTGGGTCTCGCCGTCGAAACACCATCGCCATCACGATCGCCGATTATCAGGCTTTATCGTCGTTAGTTCAGACTTTCAACCTTGTCGCCACCATGTTGATTCTTGCTGTCACCATCAGAATCTATTGCTGTTATATTCCTTGGCTGATCTTCGCCGTCATCGGATCTGCTGGTAGGATCTGCTTGAGAACGAGAGAGAGAGAGTTTGGTAGAGAGAAGGAGTTTCTTTGACGAAGCTGACTAGATTTGGGAGTTGGAGTGGGTTTTAAATCGGGTCAAAAGACAACCCGATTTAAATGGGTAATAAGGTTATTCTTGCCATTTAAAATTTATGCTTAGCTTATGTGATGTCACACACCACTTTAACGTTGAAAATGCACCGGAATTTGAACGGAATTGGGATATTTGCAAAAAAAGGGATAGTTTAGGGGGTTAATTGTAAAAATAAAAGTTTAAGGGGGTTTCTTGCTAAAGAGAGCATAGTTTGAGGGGGTTTATTGCCCTTTACCCTATTATATTATATATGTATAAAATATGCATTGAGTTTTATATTTATCCAGTAGAGTTCATCCACTTGACTGAATGTTTATTTTATTTTATTTTATATTTTTAGACATTACTTATGAATGTTGGTTTATACTTTATATATATATATATATATATATATATATATATATATATATATATATATTATCTCCAAGGTATATCAACAAAATATAAGTTTAAGTATTATATTTATTTAGAAAGTTCATGAACATATTGTAAAATTTGAACATAATAATGGGATCGAGAACAAATTCAAGAGTGAGAACGTGAGAGCGGCATAATTAAGTTATAAATAGTAAGAATTTGAGCCAGAACTCGCGCGGAGCGTAAAAGTAAGAGTGCACTCCAAACGTAAAAGTGACACTCACTAAAAATAATTGTGTAACTTAAAACCTAAGGAATCCTTAGCATTTATTTATTCATTGACAAAAACCAAATGCTTTTAAATTGAAAGTGTATCTCACGTTCCAAAGTCATCTAATTTGACAATGTGAAATTTTGGTCTTACTTCTGGAAAAAAAAAAAATTAAATTTTGGTCATTTTCACCTTTTTTATTTTTTTTATGGAAGAGAGGCAAGGCATAAGAGCTGACCTACCAAATATTAAAATTCAAAACTATAAGTTCGTTGTGCCATTAAACACTGAATGGGTACTCAAATTTCTTTAATGTTTGTTAATGGACTAAATGTCAAGTCAAACTAAAAATAATTAAAGAAATTGGGATAAAGACAGTGGGGGTTATTGAACTTAAAAAATATATAACCCTTCTTTAACTTCCTGTAATGCTTCACATACCAGTCCAACCTTAGGGGTGATTTCCAAACTTGATTAATTTTTATACGGAATTTAATATTTAATACAAACTTAGCCAAGAACCTCCAGACTAACATGAAAATTTAACAACAAAAAAATCCCCTTATCTCGATCTAGGAAATATTGATATGGGACACTGTTGATACGAGAGGGTATGATACTATAATATAAAAATAATATATTATATTTTTATATATACAAAGAGTTGATTTTATATTATACTCCATATTTTTTTATTATAAAATACTAGTATCATAAACAAATAAAATAAGAGTTAAAAAAGTCGATGCATAATTTGTATGGATAAAATTTGTACAAAACCACCATACATATTTCAATACTTCTTTTTAAAAATAATTTTTAATCTTTTCTTAGCAATTATATTATGATATTATTATTAAAAATTTGTTATAGAGTATTTGAAAAATATTAGAACGGGTTAAAAAAATACAGATTACAGAGTATATATTTTAAAATTATAAACACATTTATAAAGTATGGAACAAGTATCCATATCTATCCAAGACACATCCACAAACGCCATACAAATATGTTGATAAAACGAATCATAGAAGTATGTTTTCTAGATCTCGAGAAAAATAATTACTTTTAAAATGTTAAGAAGCGCAGTCATATTACAGTTATAAATGACTAACGTTAAGTGCCCTGCTATAAGCTTAAATTATTAGATAATGTTACATATTTCCTATTCGAACTCGCAATGCTGTGTCATTATAGTCGGGCCACCTGCCTACATTGGTGACTCACCCGGACGCTTGACGTGATACCGGGTCAAGCATTGAGTTTGACTTTAATACCAACTATAACGAGTAGACGTTTACTCATTTATTTAAAAACTTAAAATTTTACGCTATTAAATAGTACTGTATACTCATCTATTTATATCCCTATACTTTTCATCCTAATAGAACATGGAGCAAATACTTCTTATAACACCTACATGCATTTGTTCCTTGGAATCCCCTTCCTACTCTCTACCCGTTCCCATTGTCAACTGGGTGGTGTTGAGATGGATAGCAATGTGTGTTGTTTAGTTCAGCTAATTCAGCCGACCTGAGGATTGAGCCGAGCCGATCCGAGGAACAGCTCGTGTTCACTCTCCGTCTTGTTTCTGTGTGATTCCTTTCGTCCCAATCGCTCTCTACTCCCTGTAGTGCTATTCCGAACCAAATTAGGGTTAGGGTTTTCACTCAAACCATGTCAGTTGACAAAGCCAAGCTCCTCTGCAACTTTAATTCGCTCACCGTCTCGCCAAACTCAGCTATGGAGCTCAAACCCACCACTGTTATCAAAACTACTAAATCGTAACATGTGCCTTGAATCAAAACCTCTGTGTGTGTGTATATACAGATATTGAACCTGAAAGTAATGAAACGAGCTAGTGGCTGTGATTAACATCTTCCGAGCAAGAGAGAGAATGTAGCTACTGCTGATGATGATGGTGATTTCCGGTGCAGCTTATGCTGTTTCGAGAAAAGCGGCTTTTGCTATTCAAAATGGTAATTTTCCTCGTTTATTCTTGTTGATACATCCAATTGCTTCGGTTAGGTTGTGCTCTCAATCTTCAATTGCTATTACTAACCAAAGAGATTCGAAGCGTCGAACCCAAACCCAATTCGGCAAATCTTTTAGTGATAAATGCAAGTCTGGTTTCTCTAATCTTGATGATGCCCTAACTTTATTCAACAACATGCTTCAAACGAAACCCATTCCATCCATTGTGTGTTTCAATCAGCTTTTAGGGTCCTTGGCTAAAATGAAGCATTATTGGACCGTGATTTCTCTGTTTAAAAGGATGGATTCATCTGGAGTGATCGTCATCAAACCTGATCTTTTTTCGCTGAACATTGTTGTTAATTGTTTCTGCCACTTAAATCGGCTTGGCTTTGCTTTCTCTGTGTTAGGGAAAATCTTCAAACTCGGGTTTGAACCTAGTTATGCCACCTTCACTACTCTGATCTGTGGGCTTTTTGCTGACGGTCAAATGGACAAAGCAGTGAAGTTTGTTGATGAAATTGTAAGTATAGGTTTCCAACCTAATCACATTACTTATGGAACTTTAATTAACGGATTATGCAAAACTGGAAGGAGGAAGTCCGTCTGACATAATGCATTACAACACCATCATCCACAGCCTCTGCCAGGAAGGACATTCGGTTACTTAAGAAGATGGAAGGAGGAAGTCCGTCTGACATAATGCATTACAACACCATCATCCACAGCCTCTGCCAGGAAGGACTGGTAACGGAGGCTTTGAAGTTCTTTTCAGGAATGGTCGATAAGGGCATTTCACCAACTGTGGTCTCGTACAACTGTTTGATTCAAGGCACATGTTATTTAGGCCAGTGGAAAGAAGCTACCAGGTTGTTGAATGAGATGGTGGAGAGGCAAATTGCACCTAATTTGAGAACCTTTACTATTTTGGTTGATGGACTTTGTAAAGAAGGAATGGTTGGGGAAGCACAAGTTGTAGTTGAATCAATGATTCAACGAGGTGAGGAACCTGATGTCTTCATTTACAATGCACTGATGGATGGGTACTGTTCGGGAGGCCAAATGAACAAGGCTCTAGAAGTGTTTGATGTTATGGTTGCCAGGAATTGTGCACCTAATATAGTTAGTTGTAACATCTTGATTGATAGATACTGTAAGAGTTACCGGATTAATGAAGCCACCTGTCTCCTCCAAGAAATATATCGTAAGGGGTTGATTCCTACTAATTTTACTTACAATATTCTTATAAGAGGTTTGTGCCTGGCGGGGAGACTTCAAACTGCACAAGAGCTTCTTGATGAGATGCATGTGCGTGGCTGTCTTCCAGATCTTATAACTTATAATACGTTGTTGGATGGCTTGTGTAGAAATCAACATGTTAAGGAGGCTGCGACATTGTTTCAAGCAATGCAAGGTAGCAAGTTGAATCCTGATATCATTACTTCCAATATTTTCATTGATGGCTTGTGCAACGCTGGGAAAGTTGGTGTTGCAAAGGATATCTTTTGCAGTCTCTCTACCGAAAGGATACAACCTGATGTCCAAACTCATAACATAATGATTAATGGACTTTGTAAAGAAGGGTTACTTGGTGAAGCAGATAACTTGTTCAAGGAAATGGGAAAATATGGATTGTCATCCGATGAATGTTGATATGAATGCTGAATGGGTTCAGATATGACTTGAAGATTGATTCAAGCAACTAATATGCTGGTGTTGCAGCAAACCACAGAGAATTGATCAAAACCTAGTGTAAGTGATATACTAATCATTTTTTCTTCTCTTTTCTTTTTGAATTTTCAACCCTTCACAGAGATCACAGAGAATTCCAGTCTATGTTTTCAACACAAGTGTGGATGATAATCACAGTAGAGAAATTTGGAGTTAAATTCTGATTATTTTCAGTTTGTTTGCAATGAAGACCAATTAAAAGGAAGGAGTGAAAAGAATATATATATATTATTACTTTTTTGTATGTTATTTTGGTATTTCCTTAATAAGATCATCCACGTGGCTAGAGAACACTTGGTTGATGAATTCACTTCCCCTTCCCAAGATTCAGATTAACTTAACTTTGCTTGCACTTGTTAACAATCAAATTTGTTTAGCTGCCTTCTACTCTTGTGGTGCTGATTTTGTCTGTGTGTGTGTAACCATGCAGGGAAAAATATGGATCAGCAATGTTTGATGGGCTTTCAACTCGGAGGTATAGGTATAGCCAGAGAAATTTGTGATTTTTGCTTGATCCTTTTTTTGGGTGTATCAATGAGATTGTGGCTCAAACTGACCATTGAGAATGGTGTGAATATCATCATAATGTTGGTCCGATTCCTCCCTGTCTTCTCCACTAGAAATCAAAATCTTTCTTTCTTCTCCATTTCCAATTTTAATATTTGTCCATGTTTTGAGGTTGGTTTGTTGCATGAACAGTGAAGAGAAAGGGGTTTTCGGGGAAGTAAGCACTCCAATAATCGATTGAACTCACCGGTTATTATTGTTTGATCAATTTTTAAAATTTTTAGGTTAATAAGATTTGAAAGGTTCTGTGCTTGGCTGCCACCAACATACAGGTTAAAGTGTAAAATTGTATGTCAGATGACTCCAACAAATAATTCTATAAAAATTTCTTTCAAAAATATCCTACTAGAGAAAACAAAAACCTTGAAGCTTCCATCTTTTATGAACAAATTTTACTAACATTGTTGATTACCCAAAAAAAAAAAAAACTTATTAAGATTATTGTGTGAAATTCACATTTGAAAACCTATGTTGAAGAAATAATGAGAAACACAAATGAACTATGTCAATTCTGTCCATACTTTGAGAGCATCTTTGCTATCTTACGCAATAGTTTAGATGCATCTTCATCACCTGGAAAGAGAGGGGAGGTCTGTTCCTGAAAATTGTGGAGGCTGCCTGTAAAGTCTGTAAAGAGTCCGTCCACCCCTATATTGTTTATCCAGTAATCATATTCAATATGTGGGTCTTGATTGAAGTTGAAGTGCAAGAATGAGTTCTCATTCCGGTAAGTGTATGGATGCACCTGAAATGAAACCACCATGACAAGTAAGGACTTTGGCGCACATAATATATATATCAGACTCAAAAGGAACATAAAACCCCAGGGATAGCCAAATCAAACAATTCTAAATGAAAAACGAACAATATAACAAGTTGAACATGATTTTCGTTTGTACAAGCTAAGGAATTCGATTCGAGCAATTATATATATATATATATATTCCTAGTCAATACTTCATACATGAATCTGCTCTCTGTTAGGCTCAATAAAGTGGAGAATAAGCCATGGTCTGTTTGCTATAGTTTGTTGTATTATTTAAAAAGAACACAACTAAATGATCAAAAATTCAAGATTACTACAAAGACTGGGTGGTCAGTTTGCTCTATCAAAACGTTCTGCACTGTATGGACTGTCTAGAATGAAGCCATGTGCAAAGAGTTCTTCAGTTAGCAAACATGAACCCGAATGCATAATTATGACATGACAGTACAATAATAACTAAGAGGAATAAGATATTACAACAAATTTAGATTTTTTCTACACCATTAACCCTTATTAACAAAAAAAACTTCGGACAGAGAGAATACACACCTGTAGATCGCGGGCGTGTGCTCTGGCAACAAGATCTGTAGGTGTCTGCAAATAATTATTCACTACAGGAACCACTGTATCCTTCCAAGGTCCAATCCCGACCACATATTCCTTGATGAAGTCAAGGTAACCATCTGAAGTGATTTCCCAATATGACTGCACAAGTCAATGGTGATACTAGTTTTTAGCAACAGCACAATCAGTGATTTTAAAATGATAGGCGCTTGAAACTCCATAGAACAGACATCCAATAAGTGCATAGAGAGAGAGAGAGAGAGAGAGAGAGAAAAAGAGAGAGATTCTAGACACAATATTTAAACAAGATCAGCACCATGCACACAATGATTGTATCAAACAGAATTCACTACATCATTGGTGCATGAGTTTTTAGATGCATTACTATTTATGTTTATGACTGATTACAGTAGTCCACAAGGAGGCTAAAGCAAAGAAGGCAAACCTGATCTGTGTCCTGAGTTGGTATAGACACATCATCAATCAAAAAGACTTTGGGCAGGTCCGTCTGGTTTGATATGTAAATAAGTGATGTCGGAGCAAAGGACTGGATAAATGCAGGCTGTTTCAACCAATCTTTCGACATATATGCACCTTTATATCCATACTTTTTAAGCGTCTCCACAAACACATCTTCAAATCTCTTACCGCCTGACCATTTCACCTATTGAAAATAGCAGCTTAAACATTGGAAATATCAAAGAAATTTTCTCCTACAAATTTTATTCAGTTGATTAATTTCCATCAAAACTGACTAAAGCCACCATTATTCATAAAAGCCATTCTTTGAGGGAACATAAAGGGGTGAAAATTGCTCACATGCTGGTTGATGAGTACTGGATTTTTAATCTCTGGATATATACCAACAACTCTGGATGCATCTAGAGCAATTGAAATGAACTCTTCAAAAGTAATGATTGGAAACTTTCCTGCAAAGTTCATCAAAAAGAGATTATAGGATTATTGCTTTATTATTGTGAAATAGAATGAATTTCTATTACAAGTACTGAGAACACTATTAAGTATACAAGAAAAGGAATGATAAAGGGGTTGGTCAACATGACAACTAATGTAATAATAATAATAATGATAAAAACTTCAGCCAATGGACACTAGTGAATGATTTGTTCAGTCGGGTTAGCCTAGTGATCTATATGGTGAGTTGGTGACTAGTGGCATGGATGACGTTTCCTTTATTAAGCAAAGCTTTCAACCAACTACTTGGAATCTGCTACACAAATCAGTTTCCACCATTGAAGTCCATCTAAAACCTTATCTTCTAATAAACCATAGCTTCATTTTTTTTTCAGAGGTGTTCTTGTCCATGTAAAACCTTCAACTTCAATTAAAATATTAATTCTCATTGTTTTATAATTTACTCCTCGTAAAGTAAAGATCACATAGTATAACCGATTAGAACTAACAAAAATTTGTGCTAGGAAACTCTAACTCTTGAAATAGGTGTCCTTAGCTTATGGAAATAGCTATATTCTATAATATCTTTTACATAGCAGAGTTTGTACATTAGCTCGTAAATGTCGGGCACTTGATGCACTAGCAATTGGACGCAGGGAAGTGCTTGCTAGGTTTCATAGCCTGGTATCCTGCATCCCACTTTCAATTGACCTAGTAACCGTGCACAGGTGACTCATAGTTCAAACTTCAAACCTAACCCAACAAACACAATGGGAAAGTATGGATGACTTGGGTCTGAATTCCAAAACATTCTTATGTTGGATTGGGCTCATGTTGAGGGTTAAAGTATTCTTTAATTAACTCCATCCTGGGTGCTCCCAGCATGATAATTTGTGGATCTATCAGATTTTGTATCTAAACCAATAAACAGATCCATATACAAAGTTGAAAGCATCCGTGGAATCAGTTAGGAATCACTTCTCAGTTCTCGCCTACTTGACTGTGCTTCAAGGATGGTGGTTTGGGAGGGTTGTCCTGTTAGATGTTGTGATCAGTGTCTTTTCTCCTTTATGTTTGGGGCACCTTGTGCTTAGGTTCTCTCTCAAGTTGGGAGCATCCATGAAGTCAATTTCCTACTGTGCACCTTTTAAATCTTCTCTTTTCTTTATAAAATAATATCAGTTCTAGTTTCCTATCAAAAGAAGAAGAGCGAAAAAAGGATAAGACCATGGGAAACCTGAACCAATTTAAGCCAGTCTCATTGACAAACTGTGTTTGTGCCATAATAAATTTAAAATAAGAAATCCTAACCAATCTAAAAATTCTTGTTATATCACCGCAAGCTATGTAAAAATTAAACAAAAAAATTTCCTTTTTAAGTAAAAGGACTATTAATAACCTCATGAGAATTTATTTCATTTTTCTAAGCTGAGGACTTACTTTTGGTCATTGTATCCCCAAAGATACACTTAATCAAAATTTGACACAGACATTGGGCTCCTCTTTTTTTCAGACTTAGGAACAACTGTTTAAGGAGAAGATACTAAGCAGTAAGCATGATACAGGAAGAATCTAGTAATTGTTTCAGTTGTACTCTGGTAACTCTGCAAGGTAGTTTGATCAATAGTAACCCAATGGAATAGTTTATCTGCAAACCGAGAACTCTTGGAATCAGCAAAAAGCTATTCTAGTAATTCAATGTCTTTAATGGCCAATACTATAGGTGACTGGAAAATGTATGTGGTGTCAGCATTAGCTATGATATATCAGAATTAACCACATTTCCAATTTCAAATTTCATTTATGATGATATTTAGCAACTCACAAGCTACACAAGATATGATTAAGACCAGAAAACAATTAACACTCTTGCAAATACAAATTTTCGGAAAAGAAACAAGTTCAGATTTTCGGATTCCAATGAGAACTGACCGTTATATTGTTGATCCCTGAATGGGTACCTCTGCTTCACCCGCAACAACTTTAGTTCTTTTAGTGTGAAATCAACTGCATGTGATTTGAAAAAGAAAAAAAAAACATTTAGTACATTCAGTTTAATCAAATCCTTGTGAAATCATAGACTTAAAAGGCCAAGGAAAATAGTGTTATATGATAATAGTAGTAATTATTTTGACACAATCAAGTTTTAGATTGTTATTGGCCTGTGCAAGAAAATCGGATTTTGCAGTTCATACCAAGTAGCAAAGAAAGGTTATCTTCAGTAACTCAGCGATTGAGAATTATAATATTCCAACCATAATGTAAAGGGGATTGACTGGTAGCTTCCATACCAAGGAAAAAGCCAGTTACGTTGGCCCCTTGAACTTCATAGGTCCTTTTACGATTTGCAAACTCCTTGTGTTCTGCTATATCAGTTGTATCATCAAGGGTTACATCATGGAAGCATATAAGAAAACCATCTTTTGAGGCTAAGATATCTGTTTCTATGAAGTCTGCACCCTCTTCAATAGCTTTCTGCGAGAAAGACATTTTTCAAGAACATGATAACCATAAAATAAAAAATAAAAAAAAAAGGGGAGCAGCATATAGGTTAAAAGCAATACTTCTAATTTACCATCGAACAGTGGCAAGAAACATTAATTTTATATGCTCATAGATAACAAGATATGGAGCATATAATACATGTTCAAATATAGCATTCATGATAAAAATTTAAAAACAAGAAAAACCAAAGTTCATTTTCTAATGAAATGTATCAACCACTAACTTGGAGACTCGTGTGGATAAGACGAGTTGGTAATATTACAAAAAAGCACACAAGCTGTCTCACGGAACCAAGGCTTCGATAAATTTGAAAAGAGTAGTCCCTCATCATGAATTGGACAATTTTTTAAAATTTAACATATTATCCTAATGAAAAAATGAAAAAAAAAAAAAAAAAAAAAAAAAAAACACTTATTTGAATTTGCAAAATGTGCATGCTATATACCATGTATGCAGCAGCAGTTTCTTCAGGAATCTCTCCATTTGAACCTCGATGTGCAATATTATACGGGCGAGAAGTCTGAAGAGGCTGCCTATTTTTATTTTCTGCTTTGCTGGGGAGTGGATAGAAAGGCCTTGCAGAACACCCAACGACTTGCAGAAGAACAAAAAGGACAACAGCTGCAAAGTGCATCAGCAGAAGTGTGTATCAATTAAACTCACCCAGTGCCAATGCGGATTATATATATATATACACACATGAAAAAATCATCAGTAAATGGAAGGATAATATATCACGCAAAGTTCAGATTAGGAAATCCTTAGGCTTCCATCAATTGTTTAACTAAGGAAAACCCCTGCAAATGCATAAGTAGTATGTGAATCCTCAGCATTTCACTCCATTATGGCGAGTTTTAATACTGATAATATTGGAAATGTTCCATACAGAAACGAAGTCCCATCAAAATGAAATTTCTTCCATGATAACAATAAGTTAGCTTCCAAATCAAGCAAATCTACCAATAAATCACCCATTCTACCAAGACTATTTCACACAAAACAATATGATTTTCAGCCATCGCTGATAGAGAAAAATTAAAATCTATTTCCCAAACATCACTCCCATCCCAAAGAAAGAAAGAAAAATTCTGATAATTGTCTAATAAATATCAGTTTTCTTAGCATCATCACCTTGCATTAAAAAAAATCACAGCTATAAAATCGAAAATCAACTCACACATATGACATAGCCAAATCAAAAATGCTTTATCCCAACTACCTGCGTACGCCACATTTGATCATTTCTTGTCAATCTGCTGTTGTTTAAACTTTACATTTGCACCGCGACACGTATTTATGCATCAACAACCTCTACGCAATTCCACAGCTATTTATCATAATAAATGCATATCTAGGCACAAATATAAGAGTCGATTCTCATATATAATATGCTCTTCTCTATTAAATAAAAAAAAAAAAAAAAAAAACTCACACTCTGTTGACTTATACACACATACTCATCAGTTTGCTAAAAACACAAATTGAGACCACCAGTAGCTAACGAAGAGGCCACCACAACCTTATAGCTTAAATACAATACACAAAAGCTACCATCCTAAGTGCAATACACATTTAGTCATGACCCATAAAAATGCAATTTTGATCTGATCCATTGGCCAGACAAAATCAAACCACCCAATATTAGGAAAAAAATGGGTTCAAGAGGCAAACAAGAATGCAATGATTGTTCCCAAAAAAAAGAATAAAAACAGTATCAGAACAAATTAACAACAAATTATAAATAAAAAAACTTCAAACTACAAATAAACTCTAACATACAAATCATATATAAATATATACGCACAATAATAAATGAGGGATAGGGTTTGATGCTTACAGAATGCAGTCATGGTGTTGGCCCAACCACCTCTTCCTCTCTTAATTTCTCTTTGGGTGCTGCTTTTCTTGACTACTTTCCTTCCTGAGTTGTGGGGTATATATATATATATATATTGTATGTGTAATTTGTGTGTGTGTATATATATATATATAGGTGTATGTGTTGTACACGTAAAAAAATATCAGTAGAAAGTATATCCCGAAGCCATTTAAATTGCGGTAAAATGGGTGTGGGTAGCGGATTCGTAGCCGTGGATTTTCTATAATTCAAAGAATATTCGATTGATATATGCGCCTGAGAAAGAGGAGGATGTATAGAGTCACAACATAGTATTATTTAAAAGAGTGACAGTTAAGATTGGACCATTAGATTTGAGAAAGAAGTGAGATTGAGAAATTTGATTGGTTTGTTATCAGGAGTGTCAGATGGGTGGACTGGTGGATTGTCAATGGACATTGGGAAACTACCCAGCTACCAGTTTTTAGATTTTGAGATAGTCTCCAATTTAGTATTTCTCCATCATTGGACAAACAAGTCTTCAATCTTCATTTTTAACTTAAAAAAACAAAAAAGTTTTCAATCTTCGTCCGGTTTGCATCCAAAAAGGAGGTTGGGTACATATTATACATGTGCACCTAAATTCTCTTCAATTTACTATTGGAATTTTATTATTTTAATAAGGTTTAAGTGCAAAAAAAAAAAAAAAAAAAAAAAAAAAAAGAAATTTTTTTTTTTGAATTTTGTCCAAATTTGTAATTAACTTTCTGGAGGTATATTTTGTGCAAATGCATATTAAAGTATCACCATTTTGTTATAAAATGTTCCCATGTTCTATTTTTATGAAATGATTATAATTTCCTTTCTTATTGAATTACAACATTTAATCTATTTTTCTTATCAAAATAACTTATAAAAAAAAATTTATTAATCTAATAACATATTCACTATTAAATTTACATAACTATACATTTAACTCTTAAAATTAATTATTTAAATACAAATCTTAAGTAGAAATTTTAAATCATTTAAGTAATTTATTAATTTTTAATGTATATTGAATGAAAAAAAAAATGTATCTTTTTATAGTAAAAAAGTTTAAACTGAGTATAATAAGTTTTATTATAAGTAGTAAAATTTTAATAATAAGTTAATTATTTTAGAAAATGGTAGTTAGAAGTCTTTTTTTTATTTATTTATAATTTTTATAATAAAGCAATAATAATAATAATAAATAAAATTAAGGTAATTGGTATAATTAATATTTAGAAAAAAGAAAAGATAATAAAAATAATTGAATAAAAAATGATAAATATAATGAAAAAGGGTAAAATAGTCTTTCGTGATAGGTTTGTCTTTAATTGCAACAAATCATTAATTTAGGGCCGTACTTTGTAATTCATGAGAGTTATTTGCAAATAACAATAGTTCGGAATTTTTTTACACTTTACTCTATTTTAATTTATAAATAGTATCTGTTTTTGGAATGGTCTTAAAATTCTGATACCCTTTAAATGAGAATCTATCCCCATTTCATTATTCATTATTATAGATATATGCTTGTATATGTTGAATAGTTTTCTACTGATATAAAATTATTTTATTATCTTAATAATAATAAATTAGGTATTTATGAAATATAGACATGAATGGGCACTTATTAGCATTTTATTCATCTCTTGTAGAACTTTAAGGTAATTGTGACGGACCTGTGATGAAATTGTTTTTTTTGAGTTATATATTTACAAAATTTTGAATTTACCCTTACTGAAATTATATATAAAAAAAATCACTATTGCCCTCCTTCTCACATACTTTTTAAAGTCCCGTCCCTGATTATAGTAATATAATTATGTTCCACTTTGGTTATTAAAATACAAGTTTCCTCAAAACTTCAAAGTTCAAAATGTAAACATGCCAAATTGACAAAATATTTACAATTACATGAAAAATCACTTTTTATCTAAAGATAATGCGTAAAGGAACAAGATCTTCTCTAATTCCTATTCCATCAAATTTGTAATATAATTTACCATAATGCTGAAAATTTGGCTAAAAATCACAAACTGATGCCATGTATGTAATAAAAGTGACGCTTATATTATACGGTATTGAAAGTGGTGCCTTGAGTCGATCATGATAAATGAACAATGATTTTTGACCTATTGTAAATACTTGACCTATTTTGGTATTTTTGTGCATTGTAACTTTTATTTTCATATAATTGTAAATTTTTTATTATTATTATTATTTTTTGACCTAATAAGGAGAGTTAGTAGTTAGTTGCGGAAAAGAAATTAAGAGCCGACCTGGCCCTTTACCACTCCCGCCACACCTATATAATTATAATTTGAGCTACCAGTGTACATTAATTTTGGATCATTTTTGTTGTATACTAGGTAAATGAAGTTCTTTCTGAAGAAACAAAGAGTACAAGCATGGACCATTTTACTTAAAGTTAGTAAAGAAACAATAAAGTCTCTTCCATTCCAAGAAAATAAGCTAGAAATCAAACAAAAATTATTAACAAAATCCAACATTGATTACATTTAATGTCTAATAGCAAATTCAACATGGGTATGGCAGACAAACAAGAAAAACTGGCTGGAGTCCTGCACCTAACTATCCAAGAAGTATAAAGTAACGAAATTCAATAGAAGATAGCTAATAAACACCATAATTCGGGAGCACCGAATCCGCATCTTGGATTTGGAATTGAAAAAAAAAATTAGTTGAAACTTTGAATTAATTTTTCACCAATTCCAAATTCAGAGCTGATTCAGTGCAATCAGCTGCACCCGTTTAAAAGCATTACAGCAGCAACTCATAGGACAAAGTTTAAAATATGTCTAGCAATATGCTTGGGGAACAAAATCAATGAAGCATTGCTTTCTAAGTCTAAATTGATTCCATACTAAATCAAGTAGCCTCCAAGACTCTGCAACTCTTGTAGTTTTAAGCTCAATTCCTTGTACAAAAAGGGCTCTAAAAATCTTCTCAATGGCACTAAAGCACTTTCTTGAGAACAATCAGGATAGTGGACCAATAAATTTGGATAGAGAATAGGACATACTTAATGAGCTGAACTCTCCTGATATATGAAACAGACCTATATTACTCCACTCTTGACTTATGCTGGTCTACAGTTTTCAAGTGGGATTTCACATGAAAATCTTGTTATGTTCTTGTATAATTCATTGACTGTGTGGTTGTTGGATCATTCATGATTATATATACCTAAAACTGGGAAAGTTATTTTAAATGATATCAATTAAATCTTAAATTAGCAATGATAGACCAAAGACTAAATTAGACTTGTTCATCTGGTTTTTCTTAACTGCTATCACTGCATCCATTTGGGTGCTCTCTGATGCAATATACATTTACATACTCACATCCCTGACTAAAACTAAAAGTCTGAACAAACATATATATATATATATATATATATATATATATATATGTTTGTTCATACACACACTAAACCAAAGACAACAGTTTATTGCCATAACCAAACCAGGAAAGCGATTTAAGCTTTCTAATTACTACAACAGTTCCCTTACAGCCTTGAAGAAGGAAAACAAAGAGAACCTATGAAAGCAACTTAAGCTTTCTAATTACAACAATACAGTTCCCCTATATCCTTCAGCAGTTACTTCACAGCCTTGAAAAAGGAAAACAAAGACAACCTAGGAAAGCAGTTTAAGCTTTGTAGTAACCTAGGAAAGCAATTTAAGCTTTCTAATTACCACAACAGTACCTTTATAGACAAGAGAAGCCAGGAAAGCAATCCAGCCTTTCCAATTCCTACCTAACCACCTTCTAGGGCAGCCACCATCTTTCAGAAGGATTTAGGCAATACATTGATGCGTTTCATTGGGTTCACCATGTCACTGCCACCAGCATGTTTCACAAACTCAGCTGGAGAGTGACATTGTGCATGGCAATTACACACGATGTTCACTTTCTCTTTCGCGCACCTGTATAGAAACCCTTGTATTGTCCGCCCGTTGGGGCCATCTCCAGTAGTTGTCACGCCAGGCATCTGCTTCATGATTGCTTCCACCCCATCATGTCCCATTCCCTTGCTGCAAGGAGGTTTGTTTTTCTTAGACGACTCACCAGGTTCAGTTGCAGCAGGCTTGGATGGTATGGCATTTGCCATTGTTCCAGAGGTGGTCCATTTGGTCCTCTTAGACGGACCACCGTGCTCATTTTCAGCAGGCTTGGAGGGTATTTTCTTTTCAATTGTACCGGGGGCAGTTCGTTTAGTCTTTCTAGACGGTCTGCCGTGCTCGGTTTCAGCAGGCTTGGAAGGTATCCCATTCGCCATTGGGCCAGAAGTGGTCACAGCAACAGCAGGTTTCACTGGTTTCCTTTTTGGCATCTCCTTAGGCTGAAATTTTTGTGACCGGGTGTTGCCAGCTGAATTTCCTGGACCTGTATGGAATTTGTAGGTTAATGAACAATCATTTGTTAGTGGTAATCAGTTACAAATTAAAATATTTAAACGATCATTTGAGCAATTTTCTAGAACAAAAAAGTTAGTATTGCATCAAGAAGAGTAGCATCTCCCAATCTGTTGCATGTTGGTTTCAAAGGAACTATTGTGAATCTAAAAGAGAAGTTATCATAGAAAATCATATGATAAAATCCATATTATCATTTTGGACAACCAATTTATCAGTTTATCCAAATCCTAAGCTACTAAGGAATGAATCTAGCAGTATATTAAGTTCTCACACCTTCCCACAAAACCATGTCGTTCATGTGGAGAGATATAAGAAACTGCGAACTTACTCAGACAAACAAAATGGGGGGATAATGTAGAGGATTGAAGAGACTTGAAAAATATAAAATGAAAGAAGAAAATAGATCGAAAATAGAAAATAGAAATAAAAACAAAATAAGGAAGAAAATTATAAGCACGAACGAGTTCAATTAATGTATAATTAAAACTAAATTAGCTCATACTTGCATTGAAAATGGATATTGAAAGCAAATTACCTAAATATCTCACAGATACTAAAGAACTTTTCATACATGTCATGCATTCACTATGAAGCTGTACGTTCTATCCCTATCTCAACATTTTACTTATTAGTTTCAGTGTTGATCCGAACTAAAAACCACACAAGCATCTACAAGTAAAGATTTTGTCGCAAATATACAGCAGTCCAGGAAGAAGGAGATTGTTGGTTGTTTAGATTTTCTTTCAAATCAACCGAGGATCAGACTCTATTTTGTTGATAATGCTCGTATTTTGGTATCTCCATTTGGTTAATGTTGAAATGGAATCAAGAAGCATGGTTACACATTCTTATTGAGTATCATTATCATATGATACAAATTAACATGCTGTATTAAATGTATTGTAGATTATGATAATTGAGCTAAGTTTGTAAACCATTTTCCTAGATTTGGGAGAAAAATCAAAGACTGAATTTAAAATAAGATCAACAGGAAAATGATGCAACTAAGAGTTAACTTTTTCAATCAAAAGAATATATTATTGGCTAAGATAAATGATGCAAAGTTAGCAAAATATTTTGTGAGATCGGGAGAAAACCAAAGTAAGAGCATGTGAGTGTACCAAATATCCAAACTAAGAAGGGTATCATAAATACCTAAATAGTGTGTAGGGTTAGATGAAAGGGCTAATTTTACTACTACAAGTGTATATAATATAATGCAACCTTAATTAAACTAGCTAGGAGTGTAAAATGACAAAATTGTGAAGGTTGATGATTAAGAGATATCTACTTGTTACGAATTTACCAGTTATTCATTAAGAAGATATAAGATGTTGCTTGAAGGATTAAAATATGATGAATAAAAGGCTACCCAGTGCTAGTCCAACCTATCCAGGATGCTGGGAATGCACACCTCAAAGAACTTACTCTCAGACTTGAACCAGCAGTCTCAAACTTGTTAACACAAACTTTTACCGTTGCACTAACCATTGTCGCCTATTAGAGAATGGTTTCTCAAAGTTGCGTAATCTAATTTATTAATTAAGTTTATAGGATTATTTAATGCAATATATATAATATTTATAATAAGCGAGGTAGGACATTCAGGCTATCAAAACACAATATGCGCGAAAGAAAATGTAATACAGTTTTTAAACTAAAGGACTTGAAATTTGTGGTCATAATACAAGAAAGATAGGCAAAGACATATATAGCCAATAATACAATCACCAAAAGATAAATGTGGCACCAATTTATTATAACATTAGAGAAATTTTTCTAGTTGGTTCTGGAATATGCATTAAATACCAAAATATATGATGAAGCATAGAGCTATTCAGATAATACGAAGGATAACGTGGGTTGAGGTGTTAGAAATAGACATTATGGCCTATGATGTAATGGAGCTTTTGGTGCTGATAAACCTACATATTTTCAAGTTTAATTATGTTCGAGACTCAGAGTACTTTCAAACTTAGAACATCTAAAAACAGGGATATGCTAGATTTAGGATATTTTCTTCAGATGTTTTAAAATAATTAAAAGCATTCAATTATTAAAGAATATCAGTTTACATCTTTCATTTCAACTTGAGTAAAATATCAATAGCATTCTGGAAAGATTTATTATGTCTTGGGAAATCTATAAATAACTGATATCAGTAGATTCATAATTGAACCAAAAGATTAATTGCTCCAGTTCATGTATATGTATTAAATTTGGTTTAATATCCATAAAACTCAATATGGAGAGTAAGCTTCAATCATGTTTACTAGGCTAATATGTAAGAAATGCTATGACCAATGTGACGTAAGCTTTTATTTTGTCGTTTCTTCGGAACTGGACTATGAAATGTGAAGTTATAATTTATCACTGGATCACGTAGATTACATGTAAAACATGCATTGACAATTTTGAGCTAAACCTTAAGAAACGTGTTAATCGATGTTGGGTAAGCTTTTACTTTGTCATTTCTTTGGAATTGTCTAATTCTGAAGAAACGACAAGATATAAGCTTGCTTCACATCGATCAACACGTTCTTAAGGTTCAGCTTAAAATTTTCAATGCATGTTCTTACACGTCATCTAAGTGAGCTTGCGACAAATTAGAACTATAATCCTCGTAGTTCAATTCCAAAGAAACAATTAACAAAATGAAAGCCCACAGATCAACGCTTCTTAAAGTTCTAATTTGTCACAGGATCACGTGGATAATGTGCAAGAACATGCAATGAAAAATTCAAGCTAAAGCTTTAAAATGTCATCGAAATTAGCAACAACTGAACTTTGTTTCATTACAACTGAAAATGGAATGGAAAATCAGTTAGATCATATGGAAATTATGTAAAAGGGGTACTAAAAAATGGACATGTCATACCTTCCTTTTCCATTAAGTAGAATGTTAGAAAACAATCAAATTAAGATGCTCGAACAAGACATGTTATTATCTCAAATCCCATCCCACATTCGTAACAAATGATATCTGCATACTCTTAAAAATGTACATCAATTAGACGACAAATAGAGAAAAACAAAACCAATCACCTCTATGGAAAGACTTCTATTTTTTTCAGGTTGAAGTACGAGGACAAAGACTTCTATTTTGTCGATACGCAGTCTGATTCATTATTCTTTTCATGACTATGCAACTTCTATCAATTATTCGAGACTTATTATGTAATTTGTTGATACGCGGTCCGATTCATTATTATTTTCGTGAGTATGCAACTTCTATCAATTATTCGAGACTTATTAAGTAATTTGTCGATACGCAGTCTGATTCATTATTATTTTTATCACCATGCAATACTTATTAAGTATTTTGTCAATACGCGGTCTGATTTATTATTCTTTTCATGACTATGCAACTTCAGTCAATTATTGTAGTATTAAGTATTTTGTCGATACGCAGTTTGATTCATTATTCTTTTCACGACTACGCAACTTTTATCAATTATTTGATACTTATTAAGTATTTTGTCGATACGCGGTCTGATTCATTATTCTTTTAATGACTATGTAAATTCTGTCAATTATAGTGATATTAAGTATTTTGTCGATATATATGCGGTCTGATTCATTACTCTTTTCGTGACTATGCAACTTTTATCAATCATTTGATACTTATTAAGTAATTTGTCGATACACGGTCTGATTCGTTATTCTTTTCATAACTCTGTAACTTCTGTCAATTATCGCAGTATTAAGTATTTTGTCGATACGCTGTTTGATTCATTTTTCTTTTCATGACTATGCGACTTTTATCAATTATTTGATACTTATTAAGTATTTTGTCGACGCACAGTCTGATTGATTATTCTTTTCATGACTATGTAAATTTTGTCAATTATTTGACACGTATAAGTTCGTTATCGTTTTACACTTATTGAACAAAGTGAAAGATCTTAGCGCAGCTCTATACGAGGATGCAACATAAAATCCTTTGCTCAATCTCATATCTTCCCCTTCATGTTTCCTTGTACTTCCTCTTTTTGTCACTAACCATACTATAATTTATTATTCATAGACTCAAACAAATATGACAAATTACTTACCAAAAACAAAAACAAAAACAATAAATAAATAAATGACAAATTAATAAAATATAAACATTTAAGAAAACAAACATGCATGAAGATCATTGAAACAAAGAGAACGATTCTAACCATGCAAACAGATTCAATCTAGAGTTCTAACATCAAAACTATAATGATGAACAAAAAAGACGAAATTGTAAGTACTATATATTCTACAATATTGTTCTAACATCAAAACTATATTGATGAACAAAAAAGATGAAATTGTATCTACTATATATTCTACAATATTGTTCTAACATCAAAACACACACATAACTAAACATACCATGCAAAACCAAACAAAAAAAAACCATTTTCATAACTATCACCACAAGAACAGGAATCATATATATACCTTGGCCTTTATCGTCTTTGATGATCTGAAGAGCACGGCACAATGCAGGGTTCCTCGCAACGGATTGTTGAGCCCAAGCGACCAATTGGGATGGCGAATTGGGCCTCGGGGGCAGCTCTTCAGCTTGAGGTTCAACTTGATGAACCCTTCTAACACGAGGAGCCCTCTTCCGCTTCATTTGTTTCTCCAACAGCCTTCTGGCAGCCTCAAATCTTCTCATTCTATGCAACTCCATCATTCTCCTCCTCTCTTCTTTCCCTGCAATCTCTGTTGGCAAAGAAGATGATCGATCTCGAAAATGAAAGCGAAAGTGAAAGTGAAAGAAACTTACCATCATTCACATTCGGATACCACACTTGGGCAAGCAAAGCGGGTCGAATCAGTAGCTGTGTTCCATGGATTTGGCCAGACCCGCCACCCAGAGAGAGCCCGAGATTGAGGTCTACTCCAGATTCGGATAATTCAGTGCCTCGGAGGTTTTGGGGTCTGAATTTCTCAAGAGAAACAGTCTGGTGTCCATTGCTTCGCAGAGGAAACAGAATTTTGGTTACTCTGCTTTGATTTGCTCCAGCCATTGCAACTACAAACAAGCAGAGAGAGTACAGATTAGAAAAACTGTATATATATATATATATATATATATATATGACACACAAAGCCACACACACATGCAGATAGCACTTTTTCTACGTTTCTGTGTTGTTTCTTTCACAAGAGATCAAATGACAAAATCTGAACACACACATGCAGATAGCACGTTTTCTATGTTTCAGTGTTGTTTCTGTTACAAGTGATCAAATGACACAATTTTCAGATTTTGTCAGATATATCGATGAGGTAGAATTTCAAACAGAAATCCTCAAGAACCAGATAAAAAATCTAGCTAGACGTATGAGAGAGAGAGAGAGAGAGAGAGGGGAGAATGAGAAGCCCAGCTAAGCTTTCAGTGCATGCACATAATTTGTTAGTGCATGTGCTTTTGAAATCACAGATTTCTAAAAGCATAAATCATGAATAGAATGTGTGTGTGTGAGAGAGAGAGAGAGAGAGAGAGAGAGCTGATATAATAAGGTTACTCTGTATTTCAGTCTGATGCAGCAGAGAGACTGTCAGAGAACTCGAGGAGAAAGTCCCAGTGAGAACTCGCCGGAGAAAGAAAAGCTTAGAGTGAGAGAGAAACCAAAGCAAAAATGATGCATAAATAGCCGAGAGACTGACAGATGAATTTATTATGAAAATGATAGTGACACTCCACGTTTGTCTTCGGTTACTTTCTTTTATGACATTTGTCTTTCAATAATAAAACTCAAAATATATTATATTACTTGATAATTTAATATATATAGCTGATTAGTACTAACTACTAATTATCATCAAAATAAAAATATATATCTAAAGAGCTAACTTAGTGGATTAGACTCTTCGTTATGAAATTGGTGGAGTCTCAAAAGAATAAGATAAATGTAGGAGACTGTCTTTTATTTCATAATAAACAATTTTTTTGTTAAGCCAAGATTCGCCCTCTAATATTTAGTTATGTAAAATTGAAAGTCAAACTTTTAAATCTCCTATTCTTTAATATATCAACAATGCAATAATAATGTATAATCGATGTTATATTCTCAATTAAATAATATTATAGTATTATAATTTAAAGCAATATGTTACAAATATATTGTATCATTGATACAAATATGTTGTGTAATTGTTGCATTTTTGTTGTATACTCGTAAGTGTTACACAAGCTAATGTATTGCAATGGCAATTTAACACTCAAAACAAAAGTGTAGGTGGAGAATCTGAGTTCATTCGAGTGGAGTCCAATTAATGTATTTATTGTCAATATAATTAAATAAAAATTTATACTGCCACTCCACTTTTGAATTAATGTATTCTGGGTACTTTTCAGTTTAAAGATAAAATTACATAATTGTTTTAAACAGTACACTTAAAAATCACTTTTGGAGGGTATTTTTGTTATTTGAATACCAAATTAGTTCTAGAAAGTGCATGTCCTATTAAATACATACATTGTACGTGTGCGTGTGAGACGCTTATAACAGTGTTTAAATAGCCACGTGGCAATCAGTGGAGAAAGAAGTTCACGTACGGTTACTTCTTTTCTTATGACAGTTCAGTCCCTTGTCGCATCAATTTAACTTGCGGCTCTTTTGTAATTTAAAGAAAATCTAGAGGTAATTCAGACGGAAAAAACTGTGATATAAATAGAGGAGAGTAACGCAAGTCCTTTTGGCGCCATACGGATGACTTTGAAGTTTCCAACCTGTGTTAGGGTCTCGAAAAGACACGTGTCCACCACAATGACACGTGAAAAGTGTACAATGTTAACCCACCTCATGGCGGACGAATCGATGAATATGGACTTACCTCACCCACCGATCTTACCACACACGGCGGCGGTTGACGGTGTCAGTGGCTAACGTGCGCCGGTGGGTGTCTGCCTTGCTAGGATGGTTTTTTTTTTTTCCGACAACGTAATCTTCATAGAGAGTTGGGTGGAGGTGGGACCCGCGACGCAGCAAATTGCGCTTTTTACGGGTTGGAGGAGAGAGGACCCCACGTGTGGAAAGTAAGTAACGGATGCTGCAGTGACGACAACTCAGAACTATTGTGTCGGATTTGCATGCTACTTTGACATCACTACTTACATACGGAGTAGTTGTAATCCCAGTAGATTACATGGGTATTATAAGTATAAAAAATAAATGTTAGTTTTTTTTTTGGGTAAATGTTGATTGGGAGTTTAATACCGACTTACGTGGCAACTATTTCCATTTTTAGACAAAAAAATAATAATAATAATAAATCAAATAAATATATGATTATAGTTCACTTGATACTTAGTAAACTGAAAGGTAATATTGACATTATTTCTTTGAGTAATGCTTTTAAGAGTATCATTTTATGAGAAAATTTAGCTTTCCTAATTTGTAATGTATAAAAAATTAAATCAATTCTTTAATGCATTTGAATTACAAAACAGGATAACTCATAACTCTTCTCATAATAGGTCCTCTTATAAGCATTACTCTTTTTTATAATATAGTGAATATTAATACACTTTGTTTGACTCTATTTATTGGGAATCACAACAAAATCAATCATAATCTTAAGAAATATATATATAAAGAAAATAATATATATATTAATCGTAGAGGGACTCGATTAAATTTGGGACTTTAGGCGAAAAATATAAAAGTGACTTTTTAGTATTGTATATTCTTTTATATTGCTTTGTTGTTTATTTGGTGATTTTTCACTTATTATTATTTTTTTCAGTTATGTTTTGATTATTAATTAAATGATTTTATCAATAACTCTTTTTGATATTGAATTAGTTTATTTTGGGATGGAGTGAGATTGTGATGGGTGAAAAAGAGAAAAAAATTGTAATGAGAAAGGAGGGAGACGTTAAGTGAGAAATAAGGTGGAAAAAAAAAAAAAAAATGTATAGGAGAATATATATGGAAAGTTTTACAAATTCCCACATGCAAAGATAATGATCTAATAAATGTGGAATGACCGGAAGAAAGAGAGAGAAATAAAATTGGGAGAAGTATAAAAATCTTTTGGGTCACAATTAAAAATTTAGGAAGGTTATAATTTAAGAATAAATAAAAAAAATTTGGGTCTTTCTAATCGACCATAAATCTTCATTATTATGTATGTTTGGGCTTTTGTTTCGTATTTTTTGCTTTTACTAGTGTATTGTAACAAAGCAAAAGCACGAAGTATATTTGATAACACTTACTGTCATTTGAATAGAATATCGAAATACTTCCAAAATTGAGGGCAAAATCGAAAGTATCAATCCGCATTGTAGCTCAATTTTTCAAATTTAAAACATTTTTTACCAAACATAATTTCATGCTTTCGCTTCCAAAAATATTGTAACAAATTTATTTTACCAAACAAACTTCATATTGTGTTGAACGCGCTCTAAAGCATAAATATTGCTTCTACTTCAAGTTAAAGTAAAAATACAAAATAAGTGTGAGATCCTAAATCACCCTAATGCTGTTGGCTGATTTGACACCATCGTTCATCTTTATCTTTTAATGACAAAAGAGTCTTTGTTCAACACACATTTATGAAAAACAATGAAAAATACATTTGACTTTATCATTAATCATATAAATGCACTTTACTTTGTTGTGGAATAATATTACTAGTATTGTTGTTAATCTAGCTCCCGAGAATCAAGTGTAAGGGAGATTTATGTTATTTTAATATTTAAAAAATAATAATAATCTATAAACTTTAAGCAAAAAATGGGTCTGGTAGCCTAACTCTTGAAGCCAAGTGAACATTTTGGTAATCCCGTGATTGGGTTGTTTCTCGTTGTCTTAGAGAGCCTAAAGAGTCCGCCTTCGAACTTTTGCATCCACTAACTTTTAATTTAGGATAAAGTATAGAGACACCCCCTGAAGTTTGGGAAAAAGGCCATTCAAAAGAAAGTTAGCTTATTTTTGGACAATCACACCCCTTTGTGAAATTTGTCATCCAAACAGAGCCTTCCAACATGTGAAAAGTCCACTTTATCCTTCACTATTTTATTTATTTTAATTATCAAATATCAAAAAATTTAAATGACCAAATTACTCTTTTCATATATATAATATACACAAACAACCACAATAACCACCACTCCCAACCTCGACCTCGTTGGAGCTCTACCACCGCCACCTCCTCGACCTTGCCGGCGCTCGACCTCAGTTCGGGCAAACTCGACCTTGGACAAGCAATCCGTCAAATTATCAGCCAAAATCTGACACCAAGCCTACAATTCTCCTCCCCACCGAGAAGCTGGACTCAGGTGTGTTCTGTGGATATTAGCAAAAATAGAGAGAAATATTATTATTTGTGTTTATTAATATTGGAGTTTTACGAATCAAAAGGTCGAAAATTTCACCACCATATTTAGCAAATAGAGAGAGAAACACGAAAGGAGATATGGGTTTCCACGTGCGTGGAACTTGCCTCTTCTCACAAAGCTAGATCCATCTGTACACTATTATCTCTCTCTCCTCTCTCTATCTTCTGCTCTGTTTTTTGAATTTGATTGTGGGAGAATGCTGAGCTAGATTAATGGTAGAATATATTAATATATTACAGTAATCTGTAACAGATATAGAAACTTTAGAATAATATATAGTTTAAATATATAAGAGGGGAATGAGGTGTGTTCGACGATGAAGAAGTTGTCAGTAGCAGTGGCGGAGAATTTGTGGTAGTCGGCCGAGATCTCGTCACCATGATGGGTCGCTTGGCCCGCTGCCACCACCACCACCACGATAGATTCAAGGACCACCACATGAGAATGATGATAAGGCGGTGGTGGCGGCAGTGGCGGCTGAGGAGTGATAAAGATGTAGTGTGTGGCTAAGGGGAGAGGGTTCTTTACACAGGTGGGTTCCGGGTAGGGTTTGAGATGGGTTTGGGTTAGGGTTTAATCCAGGGGCATTTAAGTCAATTAAAATATCAATTTTATATCCAAGGGTAATGAGGTCAATTCACCATCTTTAGGGTCTTTTTGTCCATTTTTCAAACTTGA